AAGGAAAAAGGAAAGGAAAAAGGAAAGGAAAGGGAAAGGAAAAAGGAAAGGAAAAGGGAAAGGAAAAAGGAAAGGACAAAGGAAAGGACAAAGGAAAGGAAAAAGGAAAGGAAAAGGGAAAGGGAAAAGGAAAGGACAAAGGAAAGGACAAAGGAAAGGAAAAAGGAAAGGAAAAAGGAAAGGAGAAAGGAAAGGAAAAAAGGAAAGGAAAAAGGAAAGGAAAAAGGACAGGAAAGAGGAAAGGATTGGTCTGGCATTCTAAGTGTTACAAATGCAGCCGGGAGGGACAAAAATTGCCAAGGAAAGCATAATTCATTTGGAAATCAGCAAAAATCATAAAACACATGCACCCAAAACCCTTGGACGCATTCTATGTGTAACATTTTTGGCAGCATTCTAAGTGTAAAACCGTCTGGCTGAAAGGAAAGGAGAAAGGAAAGGAGAAAGGAAAGGAGAAAGGAAAGGAGAAAGGAAAGGAGAAAGGAAAGGAGAAAGGAAAGGAGAAAGGAAAGGAGAAAGGACAGGAGAAAGGACAGGAGAAAGAAGAGGAGAAAGGACAGGAGAAAGGACAGGAGAAAGGAAAGGAGAAAGGAAAGGAGAAAGGAAAGGAGAAAGGAAAGGAGAAAGGAAAGGAGAAAGGAAAGGAGAAAGGAAAGGAGAAAGGAAAGGAGAAAGGAAAGGAGAAAGGAAAGGAGAAAGGAAAGGAGAAAGGGGAGAAAGGGGAGAAAGGAAAGGAGAAAGGAAAGGAGAAAGGAAAGGAGAAAGGAAAGGAGAAAGGAAAGGAGAAAGGAAAGGAGAAAGGAAAGGAGAAAGGAAAGGAGAAAGGAAAGGAGAAAGAAAGGAGAAAGGAAAGGAGAAAGGAAAGGAGAAAGGAAAGGAGAAAGGAAAGGAGAAAGGAAAGGAGAAAGGAAAGGAGAAAGGAAAGGAGAAAGGACAGGAGAAAGGAAAGGAGAAAGGAAAGGAAAAAGGAAAGCAAAAAGGAAAGGAAAAAGGAAAGGAGAAAGGAAAGGAGAAAGGAAAGGATGGGTGTGGCAGTCTAAGTGTTACAAATGCAGCAGGGAGGGACAAAAATCGTCAAGGAAAGCATAATTCACGTGGAAGTCAGCAAAAATCACAAAACACATGCCCCCAAAACCCTTGGATTCATTCTATGTGTAATCTTTTTTGTAGCATTCTAAGTGTTAAACCGTGTGGTTAATTTTCCAAAACGTCATTCTAAGTTTCGGTTCTCTAGTATACATATATATATATATAATTATACATATAATAAATAAATATATATATATATGTATACACAACTTTACATCTAACCTGTCTCAAAGCCTCTTCGTACATGTGATGGTTAGACCGTCTTAGACCACAACACCTCCCACCAAGAGCGAAACACGCCCGCGCTTAGGGCGCCGCAAGCCGCCTCAAGTCTCAACATGTTTCTGGCGCGCAGTAACATCCTGAGGTTGTATGGGATGAACCCCCGCAAGACTACTGGTCAAAGTTCTGAAAATGCGCTGGAACATATGATTTCTCAAAGGTGCTGTCTGGGAATGTGCTTGTATCATTTTGATGGTGTGGATCAAGTTTGGGTAGCCAAAATGTTGGATGTCTACAATACATGACCAGCAAAACTGTGGCTTGGAGGCTGCAATCTGTGACTCAATGCTCATCATGCGATCTTAAAATGCAGACTAAACATGACTGAACTGCATAATGCGGAAATCTCCTGATTACCTCTGAGAACAAGTAACTGTATTATTGACATCTTGATTCTTTGCGGCAGCTCTTAAGATGAAAATCAATGAAAATCCTATGTATGTTCTTCAAATCCTTGCAGTCCATGTGTGATACTGAGCCACGGCCAGCAGAAACCGAGCAAACCAACCAATCGATTCGGCTGTGTATGTGTGTCTGAACCAGGTCCCTCATATGTAGGATGGATAGTTTCCTACTCAATGCAACCAAAATCTGTCTCAATGACCTAACAAGCCAATGTTGGCGGTGGGATGCGCAACGTCTGATTCCAAAAAATCAACAGACAGTGCCCCATGGTGCCAGGAGAGTCATGGTTATTATAGCCACAAAGCATCACGTGTTCATCGGATTTCATCGGATCTGCAAGCCACATGATGCAGAGGAAAGAACGGCGACATGACATGTTTGCAATCTTTGGGCTGGAGATTCACAGCCGCAAAAGGATGGCGCAACTTGAAACAAACACTAGTTGAGCTAAATCCTTCTGAGCAATCAGCTATGCTCTCCATCTATGTCCATCTGGGTTCTTGCTTTTCCGAATCTGAAAGTTGATCCCACTTCCAAGGCAATGTCAAGTCTGAAATCTCTATGTACAACCTTGAAATTGAATGCAAACAAAAGGCAAAATTCCAAGAGTAGGCAAATTGTCTTCCACAAGGGCCCCGCAACTTCAACTTCAAATTCAAGGCATTGGTTAACGGACAACGGGGGCCATCTTTGGGCTCACAAACCATTCTACCTCCCTGGCTTCTGGAGCGTGTCAAAAATGTTTCTTCATGAGACAGAGCAAAAAACTGGAAACACTTTTCCTCAGTGCTTTTTGGGTTACTTGGGAAACCACTACGCACTGCAGAATGGAGTTGCTAAGTTTCCAAAAAAGGTTGGGTTGATGTGCCGAGGCTATCTCCTAGCATGCAGACTTCCCAGGATTGAAACAAACACCTAAACCTTTGCAAGTAATTTTATAATATCCCAAATGTGTGCCATGAAAAACAGGAGCATACAAGCCGATAGGTTCCAAACCTGTTGACCTTGCAAAGAGGAGCAACTGGTTCATGTTTCATTTTGCCTCCAATTTGCTCCAGTTCAAGTCGCACAGGTCTGAAACAAGCGATTGAAGAAGAAGAAGAAGAAAAATAATAAGAAGAAAATGCAAGGGGTTTGATTGAAGAATTATCACTTTGTGAAGATAAAAACAGATGATTATCCGATTCAAGGCTGCGCGCTGCACACCCAGAAACCTTGGCACACCCTCTGATTGTCCGTATCAAAAAAATGTTTGTAAAAGGTCAAACCTTATCAGACTTGGACACCTGATCTGCAAGTGAACCCAATTGAATGTTTGAAAGGTCATCATTGCGAAAGTTGAAGTAGAAAGAGATAAAGAGTAAGAAAGGATTGCCAAGAGGCGCAAAATGCCCCCCCAACCTGCAGATCCAGGGTGCACCCACAGGTAGCAGCAGAATGTCATGCCGCAATGGCCATTGCAGCACCGCTCCTGCAGGTGAAAGATCTTCCCCCATCCAAACATGTTGACTTTCAGCCGAAGCAAATGGGTACGGTATGTCGGTATGTCTGACAAATCCGTATCCCAAAATCCCTATGTTAGATATATGTTATGCATGGTACGTTGCTGCAATTCCGTTCGCAATGGCCATTTTGGGGTAGCCTACTTTGAGACGAACTCGGATGTCAACCGTCTTACTGAATTGCAAGTGTGCTCAAAGAACATTTGTCACGATTTCCGATCGATGCTCTCCGGCACGGCTCTTGTAGGCACGGCTTGTTTACAAAAGAATACGGCTCTTGTTGGCACGGCTTGCTTACAAAAGAATACGGCTCTTGTTGGCACGGAACAAAATCCTAGGCACAGCTTCTTTACAAAGGAACACAGTCTGGATCAAAATACTGCGCCAAGCTGTCGTAGGTGTATGGAGTTCGACTAGGGTGGGTATAATACATGATTTCCTGGTTCGTATAGCCGCCATTGCTTCGGCCACTGCAATCTTCATCTGCAGAGCAGGAACTGTTGAACAGGTCCACGAAAGGAAAACCTGAATTGACCACGTCCCGCAACAAGGTGCCAGGAGTCCACGCACCTGCCAACCAACGGTAGAAGGGGAAGGTCTCGAAGTCAGAGTTACAAGTCAACAGCCCTGCCGTTGTGAAGGGGCCTGAGAGGCCATAGGGAGCTTTGCCATTGGAAAGCACATCGAATTGGGTTTGAGGATAACGCCAATAGTTATCTTCCAGGCTGGGATTCTTCAAAAGGCTCAACAACATGAAGCGCATGTTGCTGCGATCTTCATCTGCATGTTGGGTGAACGAACCACAATCATTGGCAGAAGTCGTAACATCAAGAAAATCCCATCCAGCTTTGAAATGAGCTTGACCATGCTGCATCCTTGGACAGCTGCGCTGTGAATTCAGCTTTGTGAAGTAGCCATACACCATGGGGTCATCACAAACTTGGCTGACGCTCTCCAAAAGTGCCTGGCTGTCTGCATCAGCTTCAAGGTTTGTCGACAAATGCCACAGAAATGCCGCCATGGCATTGGCCAAAACCAAGCGTTGCTCCGGAGTCTGACTCGCATCATCTTCATCGGGCAAAGGCGGGGATGTGCCACCCTCGAGGGCTTCTTCAAGATCCTTGATGGCTTCTTTGATCTTTGCCTTCATCGCAGGGACAACTGCCTCTCGCAACTGAGCCCTGACTGGGCCAAGGAGTAAAGTATCACGAGGCACATCACAAAAGAAAAGCCCGGGGTCTTGACAAGTATTCCATTGCATCCAGGTTCGAACATTCTCTGGATAGGTGGAGCAAGCCTCGAACTCCTCTTTGGAATAGACGATTCCATAATGGCCGCCCAGTCGGAAGTATGCTTGGGGACCGTTGGGATCGTTTGGCTGTCGAGCGACATACTGGGAGCACTCCACATGATCTCGGAACCATCGAGTTGGGGTGTAATCATCACCACAGTCGTCCTTGGTGGCTACAGTCCCCGGGAAGAAGCCTGAGCGAATGCACATGCTGCCGGTCCTGTTCGCAAGCTCACTGTTTGGACCAAACCTCTCTTCAGTCCACACAGAAACTGGCCACTCTGCAAAAAGCCCATTGACAACAGCATACTGGTCGGACTCTTTCGTCCAAAAGTCTCCGAAGAAGTTGTCCGAATAAATGAACTTGTTTGGATCGTTCCGGTACCTGGTCCAAGACTTCACGGCAAACATATGGCGACTCTCCCTTGTGTTAAACCGTACATTCACTTTCCGGATGGTTCTATCATTTTTCTTCCATACATCAATGGTGACTTGGCAATCTGAACAGTAGCATCAAATTGTATCAATTTGAATCAACTTGTTTTTTGTTGTTTTTTTGTTTTATTCCCGAGAGCGTCTGAGCGAAGGGTTCTTCTAATAGTGGGGGTCTGTCAAACATTTTCACAGCTTCACATCTTCACAAAACATCTTCAAATCTTCACATCTGCTCATCCTCACATCCTCACAGGTCCTCACATCTTCACATCTTCTCACTTTCACATCCTCACATCTTCATATATCTTCTCACCTTCACATCCTCACATCCTCACATCTTCACATCCTCACATCTTCACATCTTCTCATCTTCACATCTTCACATCTTCTCATCTACACATCTGCTCATCTTCTCATCTTCACATCTTCTTATCTTCACATCTTCACCTCTTCTCATCTTCACATCTTCACATTCTTTCTTGCCCTCTTGCTCTCTTGCCCTCTTGCTCTCTCCTTCTTGTCCATTTCTCTCTTAAGGCGCGGGGCAGTGCCAACCAGACGGAACGAAACGCAACCCTTTCGCACGAAGCGAGGTTCGATCGCTAAAAACCGTGGTAAAATTGCGATTTGCACGGGTCCGGCGCAACCCTTTCGAACGAAATGATGTTCGATCGCCAAAAACTCTGGTTAAAATTGCGATTTGCACGCTTCCGGCGCAACCCTGTCGCACGAAATGATGTTCGATCGCCAAAAACTAACGTAAAATTGCGATTTGCACGCGTCCGGCACAACCCTTTCGCACGAAATGATGTTCGATCGCGAAAAACTAACGTAAAATTGCGATTTGCACGCGTCCGGCGCAACCCTTTCGCACGAAATGAAGTTCGATCGCCAAAAACTGACCTGTATCATCAAACAACCATTAAATTTTGGTCGTTTTGGTTTTCTGCCCGTTGCGGAAAATATTGGTAATTTTGCCCGGTTTGGGCCATTTCTGCGCGATCCCAACTTTTTCTGCAAGGTCTTATCTCCACACGTGGAGTCTCTTGCCACATCACATCAAATCACCCAAACTTCAGCAATTTCTGCCGGTAAAGGTGCAAACACGTCTGTATTGTTATATACCTGAACATTCCTTCGATCAATTATTTTTGGTAGTTTTGGAGTATGACCTAAAATGACCCAGTTTTCAGAATCTCGTCTAATTTTACTAGTTTGCCTGGTTTTGCTTCCTAGTGGCCACACTATCACCACAAGTGACATTTTGAATATGACTGACTGAACATGGCTTGCATCCTGGCTGCGTCCCAGGGACATACCAGGCCATTCTCATATCCCGAGCACCAACGCATATAAATGCACATAACTGCGCCCAAAATTACCCGCAAAACCCCCTCAAAAATCCGCAAAACGCCCGCAAAAACCCGCAAACGCCCGCAAATCCAAGAATCTGGTAAATTTGTATAATTTTGGGAGCGCGCAATTAAACAGAAACCAACTTGGATGTGCAGATTGAAAGCAAAATACTGGTGAGAAGACTGGGAGGAGGGCCATGCCGATGGGAAACACAGCCATGACATACCACGCCTAACTTTTTGGGGAAACGCTCGATACGACCATAAATTTGATGAAACGCCTGATTGTGCAAAACGACTGATATTTTTTAGGAGTTGGAAGGCCCAGGTAAGAAGCAGGTGGTGATATGAACGTGACAACCGTGAACATCTTCCGATGTGATCTTCGTCTTGCCAACACCCCCAGCCTCAGTCACCTTCCCATGACAAAGAAAATCATCTTAAGATATCTCTAACTGAAAAGCACTTCTATACCCCCTTCTCAAACGTAGAACAGGGCCTCATGAAGAAGAATCTGATCCATTAAGTGTGTTGAAAAGCATCCCAAGAATGGCTACAGCTATGCAGTCAGCAATCAACCTATTGGTGTGTCTGCGAGTGGCTGACCCACTTTCCTAAATCAAAAGAATTTGCCATTTAAACCTAGCTTTGCTGCGGTAAAATACATTTTGTCAAAGCACATCAGGGCAGAAATCCTGATTTGCGCCCGTTTGCGGGTTTTTGCGTGCGAATTGCGGGTTTTTGCGCCCGATTTGCGGGGTAGTTTTGGTCCGAAAAAAGTTGAAAATTGACGATTTGCTGTTTTGCGGGGAGTTGCTGTCCCAAATCTGCGGCGTGAATACGTGAATCATACGTGTTTTACATGACTGCCTTAGGTGTTGTGAATCACGCCAATTAAATGCTTGTATGCGTGAAGTCCCACACGCAGACAAACACACAGCTGTCTCAGATGGTACAGATTTGCGAGCCAGAATCTGAACAACACGTGTCATACAGCATTGAAATCTATGCCAATTGGCATCCAATCCCTGAACAATGCACCAACTCTGCGAAGATTAAAAGAAAAAGCAGAGCGGGGGCTCAGGCCTGAAAGCGCAGGCCCCATGGATCCAGTCAAACACGTCAAGGGTCAATCAGTGCTACAAGTGTAGCTATGGTGAAAGAAGTGAAATTATGGGATTGGGACACCATAGAAACACATAGAAAATTAGATTTCAGCCAGATTTCAGCCATTTTGGGTCGTTTGGGTTGAATTGCCCGATCTGCTGACCCCAAATAGGTCAATTGGCTCAAATTGGGTCATTGACCAAAACAACCTTTTTTTTCTGTCCGTTTGCTGGTCCAGGGAGGTAAAATTGTGATTTTCATGGGTCCGGTCGCAACCCTTGCGCACGAAATGAGGTTCGATCGCCAAAAACTGTGGTAAACTTGTGATTTTCACGGGTCCGGCGCGACCCTTTCGCACGAAATGAGGTTCGATCGCCAAAAACTGTGGTAAAATTGCGATTTGCACGCTTCCGGCGCAACACTTTTGCACGAAATGATGTTCGATCACCAAAAACTCTGGTAAAATTGCGATTTGCACGCTTCCGGCGCAACCCTTTTGCACGAAATGATGTTCGATCGCCAAAAACTGTGGTAAACTTGTGATTTTCATGGGTCCGGTCCCAACCCTTGCGCACGAAATGAGGTTCGATCGCCAAAAACTGTGGTAAAATTGTGATTTTCACGGGTCCGGCGTAACCACGAAATGAGGGTTGATCGCTAAAAACTGCGGTAAAATGGTACTTCTGTGTGTAAAAAAAGTCTGTGTGTAAAAGCGTCTGTGTGTAAAAGTCTGCGTGTAAAAAGCTTCTGTGTGTAAACGGTTCTGTGTGTAAATGCTTGTGTCTAAAAGCTTCTGTGTGTAAAAGCTTCTGTGTGTAAAAGCTTCTGGGTGTAAAAGCTTCTGTGTGTAGAATCTTCTGTGGGTAAAGTGTCTGCGTGTAAAAGTGTCTGTGTGTAAAAAGCTTCTGTGTGTAAAAGTTTCTGTGTGTAAAAGCTTCTGTGTGTAAAAGTTTCTGTGTGTAAAAGCGTCTGTGTGAAAAAGCTTCTGTGTGTAAAAGCTTGCTGTGTGTCAAAGCTTCTGTGTGTAAAAGCGTCTGTGTGTAAAAGCGTCTGTGTAAAAGCTCCTGTGTGTAAAAGCTTCTGTGTGCAAACGCCTCTGCGTGTAAACAGCTTCTGTGTGTAAAAGCTTCGAACACAAGCCACCCGAAACTGTTCGAGATTTGCAACCAGAACTCTCTCAGAATGTTTTGGCGGCGTAGAAAAAAAGATAGCAATTGGTATTATCTGTTGGTTTATCCTTGTCCGGAGCGCTGCTGTGGAAATCATTGAGTCAGATGCTGCAGATTAAGCAATGAGTCAAAAGCAAAGGCCAAAGCAACTAAGCACTACTGTTTTCAAAGAGGTGTGTGCTTCACCACTGCTTCACCACTGGTGTGATTCCATATTCATCCATATTCTGTCCTGTGCTGAGACTTTGGTATGTGAATTGTGGGTGAAGAGAGTAGCGCGGAGCCAAGGATGAAGGCAGCCGAACGTGCAAAAGCGTCTGCGTGTAAAAAGCTTCTGTGTGCAAAAGCTTCTGTGTGTAAAAGCGTTTTTGCGTAAAAGTGTCTGTGTGTAAAAGCGTCTGTGTGTGAAAGGGTCTATGTGTAAAAGCGTTGTTGCGTAGAAGCGTCTTTGCATCAACGTGTCTGTATGGAAAATCGTTCGTGTGTACAAGGGTTTGTGTGTAATAAAAGGGTCGGTGTGTAAAAGGGTCGGTGTGTAAAAGGGTCTGTTGAGCTGACCGAAATGCATGTGCCAACGACTCCAATACATGTTCACTTCAGGGTTTGGCAGCTTTTTCTATAGGTCTACAGGAAAAGACACCAGTGTTCTCAGGTAGGCTCATCCATGTCGCGACGTGAGATGCTGGAGTGGTTGCAAGCCAGGCAAAAAGACATCGAGGATGCGTACAATGACACTGCTTCCTGGACATCCTTGGATGAAATCACCCATCCACAAAATTACAGTTTCACATCCATAGCTGCATGGCCTGTGGATGGTTGCCTTGTTTACAAGCCTACAGAAAGGGAGGCTATGCTGCTTGGCAGCTTGCAGGCCGCTTGCAACTCGGGAGTCATCAAAGAAGATCTCGGCATGTCTGTGACAGTGGTTGTTTCCATGTGCGAGACTGAAATGAATGTACATGGAGCTCCATCGAATTGGAAGGATTACTTCCGTGAGCACGATGTAGTTCATATTCAGTGTCAGCTGGACGACATCACAGTTAAGCAGCCGGGCCGCAACTCAGAACGGCACAGAGCATTGCAAAAGAATTGCCTGTCCAATTGGAAAGCATATGCTTCCAACTGTGGCAACAGTCAATCACTGCCGTCAATGCAGACAAGCCCATGAACATTTTGTTTCATGGCTTTGGTGGTATCAACCGCAGCGCTGCGGTTTTGTGTGCTTGGCTCATCGCAGCCTATGGCTACAGCGCGGAAGATGCGATCAAGATGTTGCTTACAAAGAGACTGTCTCTTCGTCCGTGGCACCATCGAGACTATGTTTTGGAGGCATGGTGGATGGTGGAACAACAGCGCTGTGAGTGGTACCAGGATTTCCCACTTGGCGTGGCCTAGCTCTCATTTGCTTGTGCGCTGGGAGCCCTGAAACCGCAGAATGTTTCGATGTCAAAATGATGTCAAAAAGATTCAAAAAGTATGTTCGTGACGTTTGTTTAGTGCATCGGCATAAGTCAATCAGAACTGTCTGAGACTTGTTCATGCACGTAATGCTTCCTTTCTCACCAAAGTGCATCAGCATAAGTCAACCAGAACTGTCTGAGACTTTGTCGTCTACTCTCGACTTGATTTAATGCGTTGTCAGTGAATAAAGCTGCTGATTGCTTTTGCGCATGTAGTTGCATGGGTCGATCTGATTTCTCATCCTAGATGCATTAGCGGGTAGCAGCACATATAGAAGCATCTCTCAGCAACATATTCGATGGCATTGCTTATCGTCACAGTTGCCTACGTGACATCATGAGGCTGCAGGTTCTTGCTCACATGTGGACTGCACTGTTGAAAAGCCGGGTCTTCAGGTTAGGATTGCAAGAACGCACCCCCCTTCGGATTGCTGAGGTGGCCACGACAACGATGACTTCGCTGTGTGTGTGTGTGTCCTGATGTCTGTCTGCGTCTCTGTTTGTGCATCCCGTGTCTGTCTCTTTGTGTGCGTGTGTGTCTGTGCCTCTGTGTGTGTGTGTGCGTGTATGTGTCTTCCTCTTTGTGTGCGTGTGTGTCTGTGCCTGTGTGTGTGCGCGCGTGTATGTGTCTTCCTCTTTGTGTTCTGTTTGTGTGTGTGTGTGCGTGTGGCGTCTGTCTGTGTACCGTGTGTGTGTGTGTGCGCGCTTCTGTGTCTGTATCTTTGTTTGTGCGTCTGTGTGTGTATGTGTTTCTTTGCTGTCTGTCCCTGTCGCTCTCAAATTTTGTGTCTATCTTTGTCTACTTCTGCTTAAAATCTGACATAGCATGTCTATCTCCTTTCTGCTGATCATCTGCATCATCTTCAATGAAGCTTTCACCTACAATGTCTTTGATACTACTTACAACAGAGTAACATGCTCTTCTACGCTCTTCTACGCTCTCGGGCCATCCGTCGTCTAGTGGGGGGATCCGCAGGTCACCATGGGTTTCAATACTAAAACTCATGTTCATTCATGATTTGGGTGATTTGGATGATGATTTGGGGTCTTTTCCCATGACTTAAGAAATCTCAACTTCTACATGTATACAGTTATGGCCATTTATCAGTTAGAACTGGTTATAAATGGGAATACACATTCTATAAATGGGTTTATATATAAGTACTTATAACTGGTATAACTCGGACCATAATATGCCAGAACCTGGATCTCCAGTTGACCGTCATGGTTAACGTTAGGGACGCCCAAGCACCATCCCGCTCGCCCGCTCCTGCCAACCGGATCTTCTGAGTCCAAGGATTGGTCCCAGTAAGGGATGGCCTTCACTTTGATGGGACGGTTCGTGTCTGCCGCCATCAAGGCCAGCTCCATCTTCCTGAGAATTCCGATTTTCCCTAAATAATCCGAAATATATCTTTTGGATGGAAACAATGAACATTATATTATATATATATATTCAAAAAAACAAATAAACAAATAAATAAAGAAAAATATGAAAAATCGAAATAAATAAATATATGTAAATAAATATATATATATATATATATGTATATGTATATATATATATGCTCCAGCGTTCCAACCCCCCTCCCCCCCGGCCATGGTCGTGGGTTAGCCATAGTACTGTCCCCCTCCCCCTCCTGTGGTTTGGTGGGGGTGTGGTACTGTCCCCCTTCCCACCCTGTGTGGTGTGGTGGGGGTGTGGTACTTTCCCCCTTCCCCCTCTGGTGTGGTGGGGGTGTGATATGGTATGTTGGGTATGTAGGTCGGTCTGGTATGGCATGTTTGGAATGTATGGTATGTTTGGTATGTATGGTAGGGATGGTATGTATGGCATTACTGGTTGGTATTGTATGGATGGTAAGTATGGTATGGTATTGTATGGTATGTATGGCATGAATGGTTGGTATTGTATGGATGGTAGGTATGGTATGTAAGTCTGTTGGGTATGGTATGTTTGATATGACAGTATGTATGGTCTGTATGGTATGTATGGTTACTATAATGGGTATGGAATGTTTGCTATGTAAGGTAGGTATGGTATGTATGGCATGTATGTTTGGTATTGTATGTATGGTAGCTGTGGTAGTTATGTTTCATACGTATGGTATGTGTGGTATGTCTGATAGGTATGATAGGTATGGTATGTATGGTCAAAGTTCGTATGGTATGTATGGTACGTATGGTATCATTGGGATGTATGGTAGGTACGGTATATGTTAAACACATGTAGTGTTGTGAGAGCACACAGGTAGTAAATAAGAAGTAGATACATAGCACATGTATGTATGATTATATGACTATAGGTAGCACGTAGGTACTTTGAGGGAGTATGTGTGCTACGTAGGTCGTCTAAAAGGTAGCATGTACCTAGTAAATGCGAGGCTAGTAGTCAGAAATGCTGCTGCAAAGACCTAGCAAATACGAGGCTGGGCCTCAGAAATGCTGCCAATAGCTTGCAGATAGAAGGGAAGGGGGTGCTACCTGGGGACCCATACCATTGGGGGGGTCCGCGGGGTTCGCGGCCGAAGCGTAGCAGCAAGTTATCATGCAAGATGAACTATAACCTGAGGATGACTGTTCCTTATCTCTCTCCAGATCATTTTTGTTAAAGGCCTTTTGCCGCATAGTTCCTAAACAGTCCATCTCTCGGAGGGGGGGTAGGAACACGGAACACGAGACCATATATAATTATACATATAATTATATATATATAGCTATATATATAATTATACAAATATATAATTATATATATATCTACATTATATATATATATCTACATTATATATATATATACATCTCTATATATGCAGGAAATGAAACAAACAACATGATTGAAATCCCCAACCAGCTTCAGAATCACCATCCGGTGAAAGTTCATGAAGTGCGGCCCAGTATGCCCTTGGTCACAGCGTGGGTCCTTCACCGAGCAGGCGTGCAAAGCTACAATCTCATCATAGTTGGTGAAATAGCCACAATATGGATTTTGAGCTGCTGCTGGAATTCCCTCATTGAGCTCCGCACACTTTGCTTGACCCTTCAATGTGGTGTTCCACTCCGAGTCGGGTGCGAATCCAGCCTTGTTGCCCCCTGAGGCCACACGCTTGAATCCTCTCAGGCGCCAAAAAGCCTCCTGCACAGCCTTCAGCTCATCGTTGCCCAGCTCCCGCCACTCCCTGCGGATCCGCGGGTCATTCTTGAACTTTCCATTGGTGCAAAGCCCTGTGGCTGCCGCTCGAGGTGGCTGCCGTTGTGCGAGATACGAGCGAAGTCGGTCGGAGGAGATCTTCATAATGAAAGCTTTCAATGCGGCACCCTCTGGCCTGGATGTGCCCAAAAGGATCAAGATGATTAAAACAGGGAAAAAGAAGAGGCCAAGAACTACACCACAGGCCCCTCGCTTTCTGCATCTTGACTTCTCATTGAAGGCTGGAAGCTCTTCGTGATGGCACTCTTCTTCGTCGGTGGGCACTCGCACATGGCCGCCCGCCATACGATTAAAACCTAGGAGTTCAATAGCTATACGAGTTCGAGAGAAACGAGCTACTGGGAATAACACAATTGATCTTGAAATATCTTGCGCTCTCTGATCCCTGTGATTCTTCAGGGTCTGCTGAGTCTGCTTATGCATCTTTCTCTACAACTGTGGCATCGGCATCTGAAGTTCTGCCAACGTGACGGAAACGAAGTCCTGGAGTCCAAGACCTGCAGAGTCACCTGATGGCAGGGCTGAATAACGGACTTTGCAGGAAAAATCATGCTATAAAATGAGCTAGGATGGCGAAATGTTATACCATGTTGCCATGGATGCGTGTATATATATATTATATACACGTGTATATATATATATATTTATTTATTCATTTATTTATTTATTTATACATTTATTTATACACTATAGATTCACACATATATAAATTATATATCATACATATTGGGAGATACAACAGCAAGATGGGTCTTAAGTCTTCAACAACAAACAAATGGAGGTTTTAGCATCATCAACTAGAAATCTAGCTACTGAATAAGGGAAAACTGAACCTGCAAATACTGAATGGAAATTACATATATCATGTACAGTACATGTAAATAACTTGACATTTGTACCCTGTCACAAAAGCCGCATATCATACATGTGATAGACATTGATAGACTACAACTCAAGAATGAGTTCAACGACCAGCATGACTGAGTTTCAATCCTCAAATTGGCACCGATGGTTAGCACAAGCACGTTTCTTCCGGGCTCCACATCCCGCCAGTGTGAAATAGTGTGAACATGTGCCACAGATGCGCTGGGCAGCATCATGACTATGGAATTGCTTGACTTGGCAGATATTGAACGGATTTTTATATATATATATATCCTGTGCTGTACATGTAATTACTTGACATCTATATCTTGTCACAAAGCTTCTTCGGACATGTGTGGCTCTCTGTCTATGACTCTGGGATCCACATCCGGCCTCGGCATCTGGTACAGACTACGGGGCAAATGTCTGCAGATGTTCAACTTTAGAGCAAATGATAGCAATAGTGGTCAGCAAGAGTTTATGATTTCTGAAACGTATAGCAAATCCTAGCAAACCTGCTGCTTTGGGGGTCGCAATCTGTGACTTCATGCTCGTAATGTAACCATTTTTCATGCCAGCCAAATCACAATGATGCTTGAAATCTCCTCATCACCTCTGCTTGTGCTGCAACTGTAAGATTGACATTTTGATTTTGCAGCAGGCTTTTGAGATGGAAAGCCTATGGATTTCTTCAAATCCTTCCAGTCCATGTGTGATACTGAGCCACCGCCAGAAAATAGGATACCCTAAAAATCCGTTGGTTAAATACCATGCTCCCTATTACACTGGCTATTTCGGGTATTCCCATTTGCAAGCACACCCATATATTCCACAAATGTCTTACACCGAAATGTGATCCGAGTATGATTCTGAACTATATAGCCTCAAATAGCATCATACAGCTACCTGTACCTCAAATGTAGGATGGTCCCTTTGCTTCTCAACACCAATATATTTGTTTCTCAGGCCTCACTGATATGTATCCGCATGGGGTAATGGATCCATCTGATCATGTTCATCTGATCTGCAAACCATATAAAACCCATCATGGCTATCAAATTAATATGAGGAAAGCAATAGTGAACCAATAGTAAGCCCTAAATGGGTGGTATGAACCATCAAAATATAGGTGGTTTATTGTTGCTTAACTATGCTTTATTACAATGCTTTACTAACATTAATGGATATGATCACCCGTTTGGGGATTGCTTAGCATAGTTGCAAACCAAAAACTAATAAGGGGATGTCCAACTCCTATGTCGGGCTTCTAGCCCTTAACTACCCTCCGCCGACGCGGCTCTGGGGTTTCTTCCATGGGAGCGTCAACTGCCCCCGATGGTCAGGTGAAACGACGCAGAAATCCTGGGCTCAGTTCGAAAGCTGAAGGAACTTGTTGGAAGATGGACCTTCGGCGCGTGAATGTGCTGATCCAGGGGTTCTTGACAGACACAAATTCGGATAGATTCCACAGTTTTATATAACGGATCAACCAATGGACATAAGAAACCATGCTCAACAGATCTAGGTCAGTAGTCTCGTTTGGGCTGCCTTGAACAACTCTACCTTCCCATGATACATCAATATGCAGAGGGACAATGCGCCAAAATTCAATTTGCACGTGTCTGGTATGGCAATAGAAAATAATTACATTTGACAGGAATATAAATATACATATCATCATATTATGTGTATATATATATAATGATAACATGTTGCATTTTTGGAAGGATTTCCGCAGAATTATCCAGAATTGTCTTTGACATAGATTGCCAAAGGGTACCGCACAACCAGTTGTCATAGTGTTGATGCCAATCTCTTAGTGACTTAGTGGTTTGTGATGGTTTACTACTCAGTTTTGTGACGCGTAAAAAATAGTAAAAAAACACCACCACATCCAAAAAATGTAGTAAACTATGATCAACCATAACACCATCAAAATAAACAGGCTTCTATGTTTGTTATGGTTGATCATAGTTTCACTGGAGTAAAAAACGTGGCCGGCCTAAGGCGAACCTTGTAACGTTTCTCTTTCGAAAGCCGCCCGTGTCATGTTTGGGAGAAAAAAAACATCCCCTGTTGATCCAACGAATTTCTGAGAAAGTAATTTCTCTATGATTTGGGAGGTCAAGTACCATCTGAGAAGGCATTAAATAAAGTATAGACAATACATATATATATATTATATGTGAGTACCAGCAAAAAACGTTGGTAACTCATGTTTTATACACTTGACGGCTCTAAAACCAAGGCGAACCGCAGTAGTTTTAGCCTTGTCTTTTTCATGACATGCACAACACATTGACCGGCACCAAACTGAAAAGAAACAAGTGGCAATCTTCACAAAACCTGCACCAAACAAAATCTATCAACATCTAGCAACTACTCAGGAGTGGACTCATAGTTCCTGAACATGTTGGTTATGTTGTTTTTTCTTGGTGCGCGTGCAGGTTTGTGCATTTAATGGTTTTGCTTGTTCTATTTTTTGTTGGTGTCTGCGCAGGTTTGGTGACTCTGACGTCACACAAAACACTGCAAGGCACCAACATAAACAAGCAAGAAACACATGTCAAATTTCACCAAACTTGCTATTACACTTCCTTCATCTGTTGGTAGTTTTTCTTTGAGGAATTGCATTTGCAACTGCAACTGGCTCTTGCCTGCAGGCCAGATCATACTGAGGTTGGATTCCAACAAGTCAGAATCCGTGATGATCTTTCATAAACACGCACACTATGTCATGAACAGCTCTGACTTCACACAAGCGACTTGACCTTGATAGCCAACCATGCTCTCGCTGTGTCTCTCTCTCTCTCTCTCTCCCTGACTCTATCTCTTTTACTGTAAATTCTTACAATGAGTCGGCCAACAAGGCTTTGCATTGCAAGACAAAGTATAGAATGACGCACATAGGAAATAGTCCCAACTACTTCAATTATCAATAATTATCATCCGTACTTCATCAACCGATAAGTTCAAATTGATGAATAGTGACCGCAACTGCCCCTGGAGTGCAAGCTAGATGAAATTTACAGAAGCAAGCACGACTATCTTTAAATAGTTCTGTCTTCACACAGGTGACCGGACTTTAATAGTCAGCAGGATGACATACACTGCGCTCTACCTCTCTCTCTCTCTTTAGTTATTGGTGACGGCGCCTCTCAGGCGACCGCACTGTTGTAAATTTTACCATGTGATCTTGAGTTGGTCTTAATGTTTTCATGTTGATTTGACGTGAATGTCTGGTTCTTGGGGATGTTCGTCCTGTTTCAATCGCTGCGTCAGAGCATGGGGTGGGGTGTGGTGGGGGGGGGATGGGGTGGGCTTATAACGTTCATGTCGGCTGCCGGAAGGATGTGATGCTACGGCATGCTACGGTGTGAAGATGTTGAAGTAACTTCAGGGACGCTCTGGATGCTACGTTGTGAAGATGTTGAAGTAACTTCAGGGACGCTCTGGATGCTACGTTGTGAAGATGTTGAAGTAACTTCAGGGACGCTCTGGATGCTACGTTGTGAAGATGTTGAAGTAACTTCAGGGACGCTCTGGATGCTACGTTGTGAAGATGTTGAAGTAACTTCAGGGACAAAATTGGACTTGGCTTGGATTTACTGCAGGAACTTGGAAAACTCATGAAATCGATCAACAAGAAGATCGGATACTGGAAGTGAGCAGACCGCAGATGTAAAAAAGCTTCGAATGTGTTTCGGGAATATGTTTTCGAAATCCATTTTTTCCAAAAATCGCGTTTTCGCTACAGCGAAAACGACACGAAGTTAATTTTGAGGCGCGCCTCCAATGTTTTTGAACCATTTTTTAACATCGATCGAGCAAGGTTCATGAATAAAGTCCTGCGTTTTACAGGGAATTGTGCTTTGAACCTCTAAAACGACCTCTGAAAAACATGAAAGAGCGCGGTCGCTCCACAGGCGCCGCCACCTAGTTATTGAATGCTATTGATGTGTTTTTCTTTCAAGACATAGGTTTGCAGTCTCCTTTAGACCATAAAACTCTCAACAATATCATGATTGTTTAAGGTTGTTTGGAGCAAACATAACTGCCCCATCCCCCGTCAAAGATCAAGAGCTCCTTCATGTTTGGAACGCTGCCAGCCGTGCCCATCCCAGCTGCCAAGCTACCATAGAAGATCGCAATCTGCTGGGGTCCCTTCAGCGAAACCACCTGCGGGTGAGATAGGCTTTGCCCCTCGAGATTGCAGGGCGCCTAGTTCTGTTTGTTGATTTGTAAACCCATCGAAGTATACCCTAATCACCATCAATTCAGGTTAGCCTAGCTATAAACCAACTTAGCTGTCAACCATCACCATGTAGAAATCCACTCTGCTGCCAAGCTTGGAGCAGCATCTCCCAAGATTCCCGTTCATGGCTTTATGAATGATATTTTATGCGCGTTTAATGCTGTAAGGGCTGTAAGTAAAACAAAAAACATGATTCAACTGTTGTCTTTTCTTTGGATGTTGGACAATAATTCCTAGATTCCTCCATCATCCCAGTACCGCAGAATTGCGTGCCTTTCGCACGTGTTTGGCCTGAACATTGGCTTGGGAGTGGTTCAAATTCCTCTCTTGGCAACCACAGTGGGAAGGGGGCATGGAACCAATGAATCCCTTCTTTGGGTAGTATCGCGCAGAACGGCATCTTGCAATATCCTTGGGTCTCAGTGTCGGAAATTCAACTTCAACACATAAACCTAGTGGGTTTTATGCCTTCAGTACTTTGGTTCTTGGATTCTCTTGGATTGTTTGTTTGTTGAGATTCCATGCTTGGATGTTTCACGTGTAGCTGTAACAGTCGTCACCGACAGGAACTGTTGGCATAGTTGGCATGCAGCAACTGGATGACCAATCAAACAGGTTGTTTTTCATGGGCAAAAAAAAGATGAATTATCAAAACCAAGCAAAATACTCAAACATGGGCCAGACATGTCCCAACTCTCCACAAATAACTTGGATTTGCTGGAATATAAAGTCTACATATGCTGGTATCATACCTGGTATCAATACTTTGTTTTATCATAAGTATCATTGAGCCCACCAAAAAGGATTGTTTGAACATGCCAGCAAGTCGGGAATAAAATACATACCCTCTCCAAGTACCCCCCAAAAAAATGGTCAAAATACGAACTTACCCCAGATCTTTAGTACTTTTATATACTTTTTCCCAGTTTTCATGGCGGGCTCAACGACAGCCCATCCATGCCCCACCTGTCTCAGCTTCTGCATGTTGGCCGGCAAGGAGTAGATTCCGTTGAGACTCTGATCGGCCACGAAAAGGGTGGTCTCCTACCGTTCAGCGGAGCTGAACGAAGGGCCTTCGGGGCGGGGGGGTGTAGCTTTGTTGAGCTATACATGGGTCATTAAATGTCCCCATTGAACATCACCCAACCATTAGGTATATGGTCTATAATGGCTACTTTTTCAGGTGATGTCCAATATTCCCAAAATGGGACAGTTACCAACCCCTGCTATAAGTTAACCAACAATAGCCATGAGTTAATCTAGTTTTCATCAAGCTAGACATGAGTTATAACTCTTAAGTTGTTAATCAACAAACCAATCATTATGAGAGATAGCCATTCTTGGCAGTCCCTGAGATGATTCACTTCCCGGCACCTTGGCGACATGTTCCACTCATGAATTGAAACTATTATACAAATGGAATAGACTTTAAAAGGCCAACAAGAAAACATGAACAGTGCCATCTTAGATACCCTGCAAAAAATGAAACATTCTTAGCTGGTGAACGTAGATAGTCCCATTGATACCAAAAGACTAAGGGATGTAAGTACCCATCTAAGATTGCCCTAGTTATTATCCCATTGTATTCCCATCAACCATTATACATTGTTATATTGTTAGATATACACATATATCCACTATAAATCCATCATAAATCCACTACCCATCCAAGATTGACCTAGTGAACGCTTCTTTGCCTCCCTAGATCCACGATTTGGATCCAACTCTTTGACTTTTCCTGCTGTTTCAGGTGCGGTGCCTCACACCTGGTGGGACATAGATGCTCAAAAAAACGAGAATCTAAGGGTAAAAAACTTAAGACCCAAACAACAATCAAAGGATATCCTGTTTTATCATTGTCATTTCGAAATTTCGTGTGGCGAACATGGCCATCCAATGCCATCCATGGCCCCATCTTTTAACATGCTTGCTGCCAGCCCATGGCATCCCATGGCGCTCCTGGTCATAGGTACAACCCTTGGGCTGCTTCAAGGAGGCAACCTCTGTCGGATCGCTGGATCCATCTGCCTGGCTTAGCTAAGGGGTGGGCTGTGCCAAGGGGCCCCAGGCACCGTTGCTAAGTTGGCTCATAGCTTAACCATGGTAGTTGGTAGATGTACACATGTATAATTATACATGTTTTATATCTATAATATATATATATAAATGTATATATATATATATACTTGGATGGGTTATAAGCCAACTTATAACCAGGTGTCCCCACCCTGTAACGAAATTGCCAAAACACTTATTCATTTGTTGCGACTCAGCCACCTATAAAAAACGAATTGAATGGGCCAAGTGTTGGGTCTATAGTGGATATCAATATCATCTAGAATTGGATAAACATCAACAAACATACCTTGATTGGATACCTATTCTCGGCCCCACTTTGGGGATACGGGTTCAATGCGTTCAATCCCAAAGAGACATGGGACGCCTTCACGGCGAAGAGAGACTTGCCATCACCAGTGAAAAAGACCTTGGGCGTTGCCAACGTCCTGTGCTTCCCAAAGAAAACGGCTAGAACAGGGATATTAATCGGATATCATTGGGATGTAGGTGCCTGGAAACATAGGGAAATCAAAGGACAAAATCAGTTGATTTAATGATAGCAGATAGCAGCTATGCAATGATTCCAAGGAGGGCCCTGCCCCCCAAAAAATGGATCCTCCGAATCACCCTGCAGGCCCTGCTGCCCCCCCCTGCCAGGGGGGACCTGGGCAAATCCCCTCGGGGCCACCGAACGTTGGTGCCTGCCAAGCAAATGTCCTTCACAGCTGCCTGACATGGGCTGCTCATGGGGATTGTTCATAGGAACGTCATGTCGATATCATGGAGGTGGAATGTCTCAACCAAAAAAAAGGGCATGCCAAGAATTGACATTTTCATAGTTGTTCTATTTTATGGGAATTGCGGGGGTACAGGACAAACCCAGCTGTGCCTTGTTTCCTCGTAGCCCCGTAGTTGCTGGTGAAAAACTCCAACATGTCCGACGTTCAAATCCCAAGTTGCTTCAATCTGGCGAAACCAGCACTTTATGTTGTCACATCTTAGATCATTTAGGATCACTTTGGTAAGTTCATCCAGACTCCCCAAATGAACCCAGACATTTCCATTGCTTCAGGGCGCCTGGAAGACATAATGTCTCCCCGCCATCTGTCGCCCAGCAAGGGTCATGGCGGCGCTCGCGTTCTTCGAGGTCTTGTTGGCCAAGGACAGGGGAGATACCTGGGTGGCAGTGGACGTACAAGGTGCGGACCCCAATTCGTTCGCCAAGGTTGTTTATTTGCCTAGCCTAACTGCGGTTTATGGTAGATATAATTATAGTTGGATGTTGTTGACAATTTATAAAGTAACTTATAACTTAGGGAACCCCTCCGCGGAGAAATCGATAGGTATCTCTCTAGAGGTCTAAAAGATTCTGCTTACATCTGAATTTGTAGATTATATATGGGAACCCTTGGGTTTTTGCTAACTCCAAGGTATCCTACAGGGACATCCTCCCATGCGGGAGAATTGCTGGGGTCGCTCCGCCCACAAAAGACCCAACCCGATGCCATACGTCGACATTTTGCTGGCGTCGACCATGGCCGCAAGCTCTGCAGCGTCATTAGGGTGAGGGCTACGGTGAGGCTTTCATTGGCAAAACCCCATTTATACCCAGTAAAGGTTGTGCCCATTTAAACAAATGGAGCTGTTCCCATTAATTACCTGGTTTTTACTAGCTTTATGGTCCCATTCATGTATGATTTTCTCTGTTCAAAAACATTTGATTTTGCAAAGCATCTGGCTAGAAAACTGCATGGGCCAATCTTAAACACCTTTTAAAGCATGTGTTTAGCTTGTTAGTATATCAATCCCAACTCATAGCTAAACATGCAGTTGTACTCAGGGATACATCGTTTAACCAGTTAATACTTGATACCCATAAACAAAGACAAAACAAAACAAAAGTAGCAATGATATATATATATATACAAATATGCATATAAATATGTATATTGAATATTGTATATAAATATGTATATTGAATATTGGTTAGATCACCATTCCTGCTGGTATGTATCCCCATTCTGACCCAGAGGACATCCCAGATACAAGGTAGTGCAGCATAGTCAGCTAAGTTGGTTTATAATTAGATTAACTTCATGATGGTGAACAAACTATAGTTGGATGGGTGAAGATAATCCAACAACCATCCTATAGATAGACCGACCTATAAATCAACCTACATATATACCTGGCTGGTGGTTTCAAACCCTCTGAAAAAAATATGAAAGTCAGTTGGGATTATTATTCCCAATCTATGGAAACATAAAATTCATGTTCCAAACCACCAACCAGATATAATGAAATTACAAAGGTTCTAGATTCAATTCATCCCCAAATGATATATATATATATATATTATAGACTACGGATTATAATGAGAGAAGCCAACAATAAACCATAGCCATAGTCTTGGGAATATCACCGAGCCCCCGCACATTGCTTCGAAGCAGTGTTCCTGTGGATTGATCTCCCTGCGCCGATGGAAGATGAAGCTTGGTATTTTCATGGGATGGTACCCGGCCTGGTAAACGTTTAGGTAGCTATGGAAAGATCCACCATTTTATAGCTGGGTAAATCAACTATTTCTATGGCAATTTTCAATAGCTATGTCAAATTACCAGAGGGTAATAGCCATCTTAGGGAGAATATATGCGAGGGCGCTTGAGGATTTAAATTACTTGGGGTCTCAAAAATAGGAAATTCACTGTCTACAACAGATGGAGGGCACAAATAGGAACAAACACAATGATGATATCTGATGGGATACAATGGAATATAAAACTAACAACATAATATGTCGGTTTGTCTGAACAAAAATTGTATCGCAAGATATGGCAGTGAAGAATCCCACCGTGTTTCTTAAACCAATGGTTTTTGGTGTCCCTAATTTTGGACAAACACATTTTTTAACTCTCAATGGTTGTAGTCTTGGTAAGAACATAGGCATGAGAAACAGAACCTTCAAAAGCATGCAACAAAATTGAGAAACGCAAACGCAAGATTGTTTTCTTGGGTTCAGTAGAATTCATTTGTTCATATCAAATTGATGTTGGGCCAACAATATTCGAGGTCTTTTCACTATTGTTTGACCCAAAAGGACTCCATTCCCCCGCACAATAGTAGTTATTCCAGCAGTCTTTATGCATTCTATTGGTTCGGGAGTCATGGATTCATCATGATTCATCTATATGTGGGAGATTGTATTGCTACGAGTAGCGAAAAAAAATTCGGCAATGCCGAAACGGAAAAGACAAACAGGGATATAATAAGCTTGTTGCTGCTGACACATTCCTCAATTTGAGAATGGATTTTAGAAGTCCATAAGTAGAGTTTATCCTTGGAAAAAACAAAAACATGTTAGAGTTAATCATTCATGATCCCAACCACATATATCGGAGAAATGTCTAAAGCACATGTTGTGTCTTCCCTCAGAAAATCCATTGTTGATTGTAATGAATCCAGAGAAATAATGTAAATTAAGATACCCTCCGGGAATCAAACATAGCAATTTGAAAACCTCCATGTAGTTCGAGGAATTTTTCCAGCCCTCCCTGGTCCCTGGCACCCCTCGCCTTCAGGTTGGCCCAATAAAGCGCTGTGGCGTCCGCTGCGAGGCCCGCCGGGCTAGCCACTTGGCTCAGCGTCTCTGAACTCAGCAGAGTCCTGAAAAACAGTTGAGGCTGAAAGAAACATGGTGGATACCATCGGATACTCCTATTTATGTGCTATTTACAGGGGAATTGCAATGCATCTGTGGGACGAAAAAAAACCAAGTATGAGACCTACAGGAGATTTATAATGGACTTATGATTATGTTACTTATGTTGTCATGTTCACCAGGTGGGCCCCCCTAGTCATAAGTGGGCCATGCAATCCTCAGTCAGCACCTGAACTGTCTTTTTAGTACCAAAACATACTGGGTGTTCCAAAGCTCTGTGACCGTGCTTATAATCACGATCAATCCTACTATTCAAATCTAGTTGGACACCAAATTAGGCGACTATGGAGCACCATCTTGTATAAATGGCTATTTCAATAGACAAGTGATGATTGACAATGGGATTTTGAGTAGCTTTGTTCGGGGCCTTTATTGGTAGTTCATCCTACTTAGTAAACAGCCCATAAACTTCGTAAAATCAATTGGCAAGTAGGGCGATCGCCCACTACGAACTTACCCACGATACCAAGGATGAACCACCAACTTAGGGGTGCACATGATTATATAATTTGGGTAATTTTGCTGGAATCAGCTTTGGGACATAGATAGGTAAAATAAACAAAACATGTTTTCATGTGAAAAACAAAGAATCGTTAACACAACTTTCTGAAAATCAGGGTGCCTCCTAGTAACCACATAAACCACTTCGCAGCTAGCACGATGATTCAAATTTTGCAGCATTCTGTGAAGAGGTCCCATCGGTTTCAAATAGCCTATAAGGGACAACCTCATAGTGAAAAAAAAACATGCCATCATCTATCCGCCATTGGGTCGAGGTTCAACCTGCCAAAACAAATCCAACGTGTGGAAAACTAAAAAACTCAAAACAAATTTAAATGTGTTTGCTTTGTAGGTCAGTAAGTTTACCAAATAATCACCCCAATAATTGCCATACCCCCTTGTATGATACGCGTACGGTTTCCGGTTTGGGGTTTACCACACGTCTCTGTTTCCATTGTCCCCTCATCCCCAAAGACGCACCGCCAGGCTCCTGCCCTTCGCAAGGCCCTTCGATACGTCCTACGAAGGAAAAAAATCGAGGACATCTTGGCGGCAGCCATCCCATCTCAGTAGACGCTACAAAAACATGCGGAAATGTGAGTATTAAACCTGGTTGGTGGTATACCTACCCCTCTGCAAAATATGAGTTCGTCAGTTCGGATGATTATTCCCAATATGGAAAAATCAAATTCATGTTCCAAACCACAAACCAGTAAATTTAATTCCAAATGGTAAAGACCCCATGTTTCATTTACCAGTCTCAATCAATGCTCTCCTTCCTAGATGGCTCCACTGGTAGAACATTGAATCGGTACGTACTTTGCCATCCGGTTTGCTTGAACTTTGAACCAAAGCGAAAGATCTAAGTGCAGATGTTAGCACATCTTTGAACTCAATCTTGCCTATTCCAAAATATATAGCCATCAAAAAATGTCGGAATTTCACTTTTGTTTGGTGATTTTTCAGTTGCTGTTTGGGTAATCTACGAAACCCATGGAAACCGGTGAACCGGGGAAACATGGCCCCAATTTTTCCATGGCAGTTTCAGATCTCCCTGAAACTTGTGGAGTTTCAACAAGCAAAACATCTCATGCTGCCCAAAATGACCAATGATGTTGTAGTGTCTCCAACACACTTTCCATTTCAAGTCAAGAATTGGGACTGCTCTTTTTGATCTTTTTGACCCTCACAGTAAGCTTGAAAAAGTGACCTTCCTCACAACTTCAAGTCCCAACATCTGGGCGTGGGTGAAAGCCCTCGGTACCTCCAATCGACTGGGTGAATTTACTATTCAGCATGACCAAAATTTGTGCCAAACCCTTACACATTGAATCATACCAGCTCCGAAATAATTTTCACACGGAGTACTGGACAATATAGGCAGGGTAAGCCTGTTCTCTATCAAAAATTGCAAACTCTTGGTGAATCTGCTTCGAGTTGTGATGACCCTTGATTGCGCCAGGCTTTGCCAAGATAGAGTCGAAGGTGCCGGAGAAATCGCTTCTTAGTGGCGGCCTCCTCTCATTCTTCCTCGTTTTTGTTGCAATGTAAGCATCACCCAGCGCAACCCGTGCAATGATTAAAGTTCTGCTGTGCTTGCACCCGCAGCACTTTTTGTGGTGGCAGGTGTACTGATGACTCTTGCAGGCTGCACATGCGAAGTAAACCCCAGCACCATAGAAAGCTCGCTCACAGGTTCGGTGGTCAAACCCCTCTCGAACAATGGACTGCGCACCCAAGACGTGCCATGCAATCTCGAATCTTTTCAAGGTCAGCAGCCAATGGCCACAGTCAAAAATGAATGTTGCAACATCTTTTCAAAATATGGCCATAGATGGCCATAGCCATGGCCATAGCCATCAAGATCCAGATCTGGAGCAACAGAAATTCGTAGCGATGCCAAAGGCGACTGTTCTCGATGCGATGGATGCGGGATGAATTTCTGCGCTCATGCGGGCACAGTCGCTGTTTTTGTCCCATGAGAATGTCGAGAATGAAATTCTGAATGCAAGAGTCAGTCACTGCCTTGTAGAAGTCACTGAATTGCCTTCTTGCAGGAAATCGGCCGCAGTGGTTGACCATTCCGGAGGCCCCCAGGCCAGCATCCGCTATGCGGTCCACTCCACCTGAAGTGATGGTTGAGTGGCGACTGTTGGGACTCCCTCGAAGGTACTCCAAGTATGCCGTATGCATTTTCTCGTTTCCGTCAGATGTAAATGCTTCCCGCATTTACATCTGAGGGAAACGAGAAAATGCATATCTGTCATGAAGTTCACTTGATTTTGCCAGCTTGCACAATGTTTTGCGGTTGCTGCAAACTCTTGTTGCTGGTCAGCCAACTTTTCCGCAAATGTCTGATTCTGTTTTGCAACACCTCGGATTTGCTTCAAAGGGCCGAAAACAAGAATGTAACATTCCCAAGAAGGTGAACAAGCTAATGAGAAAAAACAAAATCATCTTCAAACATCTTCAAACAATCCAGGCCACCTGTGCTGCAATGTTCTTGGCATGTGCGCGGGGAATAGAAGCAGGACATGCCCCGGTGCCATTCTCTGCAGGTGCGCACGTGTGCAAAGTTGCTGGGAGGCGCAGGGGCGCTACAGTGCAAAGGGAGGTAGCACCACCTGCCTTTTCCGCTTGCTCCTTTTCCCTTCGTTCTTGTTCAAGCCTATGCAAAAAAACATCAAAACTGTCATCCATGTTGTGTTCTAGATCAGCAAGCCTCAATTTGTTTGATTCTTCTCTCGGCGAATCTGCTGAAGAAGCCGTCCACTTTCCTTTCCCCGCAAAAGTGTGCTCTTCCTGACAAGGGTTTGCCACGCCTGCAGGAGTTTGGGGTTCTGTCACAGTGTGCGCTTCAATTACTTCGATCAACTTCTTGCACTGCTCGGTAATAAACTGCAAAGCATCTGGGAGCATTGCAGCTAGTGTGGTAGCCCCCGAGTCCTTATGTTGTTGCTCCAGCGTAGCTTGTTCTTTGAGTGACGCGAGCAACTCAAACATCTCAGAGTGTGGAGCCATCGATCCAGTTCTTAAATGGATCAGTTTGGCAAAGGGCTCTGCTTTGCTGCCCTTGCTCATCAAACTACTTGGCGATGTAACTCATGAGTGTCCCTATGGTCACTATGGTCCAGTATCATCCGTTTCCACAACAACACTAGCCTGGTATTATAATTAGATACGTTATACAGTATGAAATAGATTGAAATAGCACTTTACTTCAATGTCCGTGATCAATGTTGTGTGGGTTTGTTGGTACTGTGTGTTTGAGCCATACTCATGTGTCTTGAAAATTTCAGGCATTGGTTTATGTTGGAGTCACCTCCCAACCTATAACAACTACATACTTGATCTGGGCAAGGATTCCGGTATGCCTGCCTGGAGAATCATCGGGCCCACGTGCCACAACATCGGCGCCGTTTTTTCAGCATGTGGGGACCAGCAAGTTCTTGGTGGGATGATGATGGGGATCGCTGTTGCTGTCAATGTTTACCCCTTGTTGCTGGCGACTTGAATCCCTTGAGAACGCTGGCCAATGCTTGTCGGTGAATCAACCTACCCAACCAAGGCTTACCATCAAATAGGAGGATTAACATCCATAAACCACAGCTATGTTGACGTTCACCAGGGTACCAGGGGGTCAAAACCCAAAGCCAACGATGAGTCAGAACCGTTACCCGCATTCTCCTCGGCAGCAATCATTGAGATGGAGCCAGCCTTGCGCCAACGCAAGGACTGCTTTGGTGGAGAACCCTGCGGCATGTGGAAAGTGCCACCTTTGCAGTATGTTTAATGTCAAGTCTTGAGGGTGTGTACACTTGGAAACATTGAAGTATCAAAAAAACACATTGTGTGTTAATCACATATTGACGATATATATATATTAGTATGATATATATATATGTAATATTATATATATTATGATATATATATATATATGATATATATAATATATAATATAATATAATATAGATTATGATATATATATATATGATATGTATAAAATATAATATAATATAATATATAGTATATATAATATATTATATACTATATATATATATATATTATATAATATAATATATAATTGTATATATATATATTATATTTTATAATTATATAAATATATTATATTTATTTTACAGTATATAATAAAAATATAATATTATATATATGATATTATATATACATAATATATATATATATATACATAGTATATATATATAGAGAGAGAGACTCTTCCACGTGGCTTCAACCCATCCCAAACATGCAAAAAGCGGTGGAAGTTTCTCCACCAAGGTAAAAAATCACCAGATCAGTCACGAGCGGAATCTGCGGAAGTTCCACATACGAAAATCCAACATGAAACACATAAGAAACATCTGGGCTATGTAAGGAGATATACCATGGATATACCCCCAAAATATGGCCAACATCCTATTTAGGATCCTGAAATTAGCATTGAACATCTGGTATTTCAGGTGAAACATCTGGATATCTCTGGATTTTTCTCGGGTAATGCATCTGGTATAAAATTCAGTCTGTTCCAATTAACCACTGAACATTTTTCAGAAACAACACACAAAAAAAATGTGAGATTCGCCTCAGCGTCTGTGTAGAAGATGTTCCCAAAGCCGTCCACTGCCAACCAATACGCGGAGTCCTACGATGCTATCTTCGAGGATGTGGATGGAATCGATCCTTAACTGATCCTACTGTTCCGACCGGAAGTGTCCAAACACTTGAGGAGTTCTTAATGGTTAATATATGGTTATTATATGGTTCATGATGGTGAATAGTAAATAAATATAAATAACAATAACCTGATTGGTGGTTGAGCCCTACCCCTCCGAAAAATGATGGAGTTCGGACCAGTTGGGATGATGACATTCCCACCTGAAATGGAAAAATAAAATTAATGTTCCAAACCACCAAGCAGAATAAATTACTGTATGTGTACACTTAAAACACCCTTGAAATCTTACACCAAGCGGCCTCACATGCATCTATATTGAGAGGCTTGCAGTTGTGAAAATTGTGGCGAATAACCTTCAGAAACTAGCCATCCATATAGCCAACCCAAAACCTCAAAAGTAATCAAAGTGCTTCAATGTCCTCAAAGCGCTAGTAGATCCAGTATTGATAGTGTCGATTTGTTGTGAAACACAAATTGGCAACTCCGGCTATATCGAGAGCCTCAGAGCAATTCTTTTTCAACGCGGGAGGCACCAGTGGTACGAAACATGTTTGTTTTGTCACTGTTGGTCGACCTCTCAATGATGGAATGCTTTGTTACCCTTGAAGTTTCCTTCCTGTTATGGCACCATGGTTCAAGTCTATCATCAAACATCTACATCGTCACCCAAAAACTGCAACATCGCTTCTGTTGGCTGATTCACCTGGTGCAGAGCAAACAAAAGGGTCCTGAAAAGCCGAACCACTAGAGACTGATGTGAATTACAACCAGCGCCAATCATATCCTAATCTTCATTACATTCACATTACATCCTCTGTGAAACTTGGCTGAAACTTGGCTTTTCATATATACATCAAGCCTATGCCGTTGACCTTGGCATGTCATTCTTCTGGTTGATTGATGAGGGTTCCAGTAGTGGACAGTTGATAGTCCCAATTAAGTCAACAATAATTATAGCATGATCTCCGTCATTTAGGGCCGATCTGCGCACCTTTGAAGCTTCATGCCCAAATTATTAGTCTTGTGAGGTTATTGAGGCTTCCCATAGTGTGCCATAGTGAATCATTTAGTAATCCCAATAAATTAGGCCAGCTATGCAGCTTGATTTGATTTTTAACAATCCACTAGCGTCCTTTAGGGCGTGTCTCCTCACTTTTAACCCACCATATTTGAATGTTGCAAACCCTAGTCCTAACCATCAATCCATCAACCCTTGATTTATTTTAATGAAATCCCAATCAATGTGGGTGAAACGCGCATGAATTTCAGCACCAAAAGAAGGGGATCCATTGCCCGTCTCAGGGCAACTTTGGTATGATCCGCAGCTTGCGAAGCAATTCTGCATGGGATACATCCCATATACCCTCTGGTAATTTAACATAGCTATGGAACATGGCCCATCTCTAGTTGATTTACCCATTGAAATTTGTGATTTTCCATATTTATGTAAATGTTTACCAGAGGGTATCATATATAACCAGGTACAACTGAAGTTTGCAACCAATTTCTAGGATGCACAAAGCCAGAAGCCCAGCTCCAGCTCAGGCGCCTTCAGGTCTCTGGCCACCACTTCCTGTGGCCCAGCTTCCAAGGTCTTGCGCCAAGTGAGAGAAACCTGAGACGGAGATGACTGGGCCCATCCCGCCCATCTTTGCTGCTGAACATGTGATCTGTTCGTTGGATCGGAGGATCAATGCCCATGTTGGATGGTTGAATCCCGCATTAGTTGGTCGAGCTGGGTCCATGGTTTAAATCATGGTTTAAATCATGGTTTAAATCTTGGTTTCTAGTGAACATTTAAGCATTCCCCACAGATTTCTCAAATGTTCCCCCTGGATCCAGATAAAATATCTAGTGAAGATTGTGATGGAAGACCAGAAATCTCCAACATTCTCCAACTATGGGGTATTTCCCGTTGGGGAATTCAACAGTTTGGAACCAGGGGAATTTCATAAAGAACCACTTAAAGAGTCAGTATGTGGATGTGTTAATTTGGTAGACCAACATACAAATAGTTTCCATAGATGTGGGTAAATGGGTAAATCAACTAGAAATATGTTCCACACATGTTTGGAACAACATACTTAAATATTTTACCAAAGCAGCTGGAAATACAAGTGTTACAAGTAGAATATCCGATACCGGCCAAAGTGATGCGATCACATATTTGACAAAATCGTCTACAAGGGGGGGGCCTTACTGCCATGTTAGACTAACAAGGGAGTGGACCGGGGAAACAGGGTCCAAAAAGTCGATAAGCCCTTCGGCTTTCTCCCACTAGTGAAATCCCATGGCATCCCATTCTCATCACAAGTCATATTGAACATGGCCCAGTCGAAATCGTGGATTTACCCAGTAAACATGGTGATTTCCATGGTTGTGTTAGTTTACCAGAGGGTAATGATCCCAATCAGAAGTCGTGGTATCCATGTGATTCGTGATGGAAACAATGCCCTCTCCAAACATCTAGGGTGGATACCACTGTCAGTACGTCGCTATGTCCTATACTATGCTAAGATGTTTTGTGTGATTGATCGACAACCTTGAAAATATCGTATTGTACATATCTAATGCATCATGTCATGTCATGTTATGTCATGTCATGTAGATATGTAGGTAGATGTAGGTAGATGTAGGTAGATGTAGGTAGATGTAGGTAGATGTAGGTAGATGTAGGTAGATGTAGGTAGATGTAGGTAGATGTAGGTAGATGTAGGTACAAATACACAATGATACACAAACATGACTACATATAAACAGAGGTGAGGAGGCAATGGACGCTTTTTCAACGATAGCTGCAGTTGGAGCAGCATCAACAAATCGCTGTCTGAAAATGAGATACACCAACCAATTGGCAATTTCTGGGTAAATTATAATAATTAAGGCCATTCGGGGATGATTTCCCTTATTAACCATGATTCCAGTGAGGTCGCAGTGAGGTCGTTATAATTTACCCAGCAATTTGATTGGGAAAATGATGATCAACCAGTGGATTTAGTTGAGGGATATCCTATTTTCAGACTAACCGTCCGCGTCGAAGATCACCTTACATTACCTGCACATCGCACGTACGAAATGGTGGCGTCCCCCGATATGTGAACCGTGTTTTTACTGCCCAAATCTAAGACTATATTGGAATTAAAAAGGATTATTTATACTCCAATGACAACTTTAAGTAGGGAATCGATGTCCCTTCGACTCCCTTGCAGTTCTCAGGGGGGTCGCATAGATTGTTGAGAAATTCGAGTTCTAGTATATAGCTGCAATTTCAATACTTTCATGCTGCAGTAAGGTAGCGTACATTTTTTGACCCCACACCCCAACATGAATTGTTTTTTCTTGAGACTAGCCCCACTTATAGGTAGCAGTGGTCTATCATTCCCACTGAGACTAACTAGACTCCCTTTCACTTAGACACATATGTTTGTTGATTGTTCATTTTTTGATGAAACAACATTTGTGGTTTATTGGATAGCAACGTCCCATATCAAGCATACCTCAATATTTCCATTTAATGGATGAAATAATACCCGTCGTTTCTGTGGGTTACGTCACTATCCCAACAGCTCTTCACGCACCGAGAAGATCCTTCTATCGCTATGGCGATACAATGGCAAGGTGCGCGCATTCACTTCCAATGAGTTGCAATCCGCTAGACTGTCAAAAAAACAGAACAAATGAATCTTCATCATTCAACACCATTTTTTTTTCATATTTGTTCTATTTTCATTCAACACCATATGTGTAATGTTGAGTCCTGATTAGTACCTAGGGTCGCTATTGTGGCAAATTTTTTCCAAATTATTCTGAAACTCATGTATTGTTTGGAGGGTTCGCTTTTGTGGCAAAACAAAATTGGGAGAGCCTTTTTTTTTGCAAAAAAAAACTGTAATTGCTGAGAGGCATTTTTTCTCAAAAACGCTGTAGCTCAGTCAATTTTTTGCTCATCTCCCTATCTGAGCCTGTAAATGCATCTCTATCTGAGTAGGTTTGTTTTCTGGGTTCACTATTGCAGCAAGCTGTGCCAGAGCAGCCCCTGAAGAAGGGAAGCAAGCCATTTCCAAAATTGCCAAATTCAAACTGCAAGCCTTTCCCAAAAGAACCAATCCCTTATTAAACCCTTATTAAAGAACAGCTTTCCCACAATTTTCCAAGGCCCTGGACCAGTAGAGGCCCCATTTCACTTTAGTAGGTTTGTTTGCTGGGTTCACTATTGCAGCAAGCTGTGCCAGAGCAGCCCCTGAAGAAGGGAAGCAAGCCATTTCCAAAATTGCCAAATTCAAACTGCAAGCCTTTCCCAAAAGAACCAATCCCTTATTAAACCCTTATTAAAGAACAGCTTTCCCACAATTTTCCAAGGCCCTGGACCAGTAGAGGCCCCATTTCACTTTAGTAGGTTTGTTTGCTGGGTTCACTATTGCAGCAAGCTGTGCCAGAGCAGCCCCTGAAGAAGGGAAGCAAGCCATTTCCAAAATTGCCAAATTCAAACTGCAAGCCTTTCCCAAAAGAACCAATCCCTTATTAAACCCTTATTAAAGAACAGCTTTTCCACAATTTTCCAAGGCCCTGGACCAGTAGAGGCTCCATTTCACTTTAGTAGGTTTGTTTGCTGGGTTCACTATTGCAGCAAGCTGTGCCAGAGCAGCCCCTGCCCAGAAGGGAAGCAAGCCTTTTCCAAAATTGCCAAATTCAAACTCCAAGCCTTTCCCAAAAGAACCAATCCCTTATTAAACCCTTATTAAAGAACAGCTTTTCCACAATTTTCCAAGGCCCTGGACCAGGAGAGGCCCCATTTCACTTTAGTAGGTTTGTTTGCTGGGTTCACTATTGCAGCAAGCTGTGCCAGAGCAGCCCCTGCAGAAGGGAAGCAAGCCATTTCCAAAATTGCCAAATTCAAACTGCAAGCCTTTCCCAAAAGAGCCAATCCCTTATTAAACCCTTATTAAAGAACAGCTTTCCCACAATTTTCCAAGGCCCTGGACCAGTAGAGGCCCCATTTCACTTTAGTAGGTTTGTTTGCTGGGTTCACTATTGCAGCAAGCTGTGCCAGAGCAGCCCCTGGAAGCCCAGAAGGGAAGCAAGCCATTTCCAAAATTGCCAAATTCAAACTCCAAGCCTTTCCCAAAAGAACCAATCCCTTATTAAACCCTTATTAAAGAACAGCTTTTCCACAATTTCCCAAGGCCCTGGACCAGGAGAGGCCCCATTTCACTTTAGTAGGTTTGTTTGCTGGGTTCACTATTGCAGCAAGCTGTGCCAGAGCAGCCCCTGGAAGCCCAGAAGGGAAGCAAGCCATTTCCAAAATTGCCAAATTCAAACTCCAAGCCTTTCCCAAGAGAACCAATCCCTTATTAAACCCTTATTAAAGAACAGCTTTTCCACAATTTTCCAAGGCCCTGGACCAGGAGAGGCCCCATTTCACTTTAGTAGGTTTGTTTGCTGGGTTCACTATTGCAGCAAACTGGGCATGAGCTGGTTCAGTGTCTCTTGAGATTTAGCTGAGTATAAGCTAAACATGGGCTGAGCATGAGCTGAGCATGTGCTGCATGTACTACAAGTACTACATGTACTACAAGTACTACAAGTACTAATGTACTACAAGTACTACAAGTACTACAAGTACTACAAGTACTACAAGTACTACAAGTACTACAAGTACTACATGTACTACAAGTACTACATGTACTACAAGTACTACATGTACTACAAGTACTACAAGTACTACATGTACTACAAGTACTACAAGTACTACAAGTACTACAAGTACTACAAGTACTACAAGTACTACAAGTACTACAAGTACTACAAGTACTACAAGTACTACAAGTACTACATGTACTACAAGTACTACAAGTACTACAAATACCACAACTTCATCGGCAAAAAAAAACAATAGTAATTAGATTTCAATTGTAGCCAATTGAAATCCTTACTTAATTGAGGATATGTTTTTCTTTTGGGAAGAAAATTTTTGACTTTCTACTTTAAAGAGAGTCCAGAAATAGTTTAGGGGGGGGGGGCCACACACTAATCAGGACGCAACATTAATGTGTTTAAAACAATGCCATAAATCACCCATGACTGGGAATGGTAACCATACCACCTATAAAAATGGTGATGACTGGGGGATGGTTTATGACATTGTGTTAACCACATTACCCCATTTTCGAAGTGGTTTCAAGATGGGAAAATCTGCAGGAAACTGGCTGCAGCTCCTCACCATATTTGCATATACAATTCCTCACCTTCCAATCTCCCAGTGCTTTTTACCAAGCGCCACTGTAACCCTCATTGGGATCGTCTCGGGGCTCCCACTTCATAGCGATACAAGAAACCCACCTGCGAGACGACGGCGATATGGTTTTTCGTTCCTCTAGGCACACAGGGGCACATATGTTGTGCATAAATCTCTATATATATATACATTGTAAATGTATATGTATGTAAATGTAAATGCAGTTATGTAATTAATTATGTAAGTATGTAATTATGCAATTATGTGATTATGTAATTGTGTAATTGTGTATATGACATGTATATGTGTATATGTATATGTGTAAATGTATATGTGTATATGTATATATATGTATATGTATATATGTATGTGTAAATGTATATATATATATATATTACATGTAAACATATCATTCAAAGTAGCTTCTATGCATGAATAGAATAAACATATATAAAATCACAAACCTGGACAACAAATAGTGTATACAATGAACACTCAGTGACAACCTGACCAAAATGATGGTGGACGTCAACTGGTAGTAACATGTAGTAACAATCTCCGTTAAGAAGCAAAAATCACATACTCTACCAACAGCAGCAAGTGTTTTTTCTCTCAAAATGTGGTTCTGTTTTGATTCAATTGATTCCGAAATCATTGTTTTTCACACGTGCGTCTTCTCTTAATCTCGGGGGCGGGGGCTGGGAGGCAATATTGAGGGTCGGAAGTCGTGAGGGGGAGAGAAGGAGGCTGAGGGTGATTGACAGTACTTCCAGGATAGTATCACATTCGAACATATTCCTAATTCCACTGATTTTTACGCATTACATCACAGCACGTCCTGTCAATACAAACGCATGTAATCTGTCTATCTACCTATCTATCAATCTATCTATCTAAATATACATATAATCATATATACGTATATATGCTATACACATAACATATCATATCATATCATATAATGTTATACATAACAATATGTATAATATTTATAATTATATATACATACTGGTTCCCAAATCTCAAATATTGACTCACCAAGCTGTATCTCCACAAAGTTGAAACAAGAATACATATCTTATCATAAATTCAAAACAAACACAACCAGTTGGTTTCCATAAACCACTGAAGTCATCTTCAGGCCTTGGGATCGGAGACGTACAGCCAGGCATTTCCTCCGCCTTTTTGGAACAACCTCAGTCTCCGCAGGGGGAACCGTTGAACCCTGTGAGATCCTCGCAGGGCGACATGGGGATATCGAAAAACGAAATGCTGGGGACTTAGGTAAGAAATGGGATTTGAAGCCAATATACCTGCAAGGTGGTGCCCCATAGTTAGCTAAGTTGGTTTATAACTCCCATAACTATGGTTTATGGCAGATATAACTATAGTTAATGGGGTTTATAAACCAACTTATAACTGGGGGGCACCATCCTGTGGGACATTGGGAAACGAACATGGGGATTGAACTGCTTTTCCTAGGTGCAATGTCTGGACGACCTAAGAAAGTTTCAGACAGACTTTCAGGTCTGGAAATGATCCCATCCCCCTAATATGGCCATATCGGACAAGCCCAAAATGATGAGATCACAACAGATCTACTCTACGAAACCACGTTTAGGCTGCAAGGCAGGGAAAAGAACATATCAGTTCCAGCACGTCCAAAGAGAGGTACTCCTAAAGTGAGGTACCCCTAAATCATCAATTAAATAATACGATTTTCCATTAGAAACCATGAATTTTGGGGATCCCATGACTATGGAAACCATATACCCTCTGGTTATTTAACGTAGCTATGGAAAATGACCCATAGAAATAGATGATTTTCCCAGCTAGAAACCTCCATTTACAATGGATTTTCCATGGCTTCAATGGGAATTTCAGGATCCTAAAATGGAGGTACTGTACCATATAAGGCCATATTTTGTGGTGATATTCACTTACATAGGCCTTATATAGGCCTTATATATGGTAGGTACCTCCAATCAATCGGTTCCTGAAATGGCCATTGATGGCTATGTTAGTCATAACCAGAGGGTAAATCTACAACCTCCAGCACCCCTCACCTCCGTCTCCGTCAAATAGGCCCCCAGGCGCTAAGCCCACAGGTTCCTTCAAGCCCCGATCCGACTGCTCCGAACAGATCCATCCGGCACACCTGACACCATGGGGAGACATTTTACTTACACAGACTATGACATTGTATGGCCATGATACGATAATTATGAAATATATATATATATATGTATATTCAATATATATATATAATAAAGAAACATGCACACATTTTGTTGAAAAAAAACGAGACAGGGCCCTGGTTGAAGCATTCCATCCCAGGGTTTAAAACTCCCATTGGGGGTGCCCCAGGGTTAAAACATGATCGACCCTCAAACATCCGCAGAAGACATGGTTGGTTTTATACTACCATGTTCGGACAACCCCCAGATTCTTATACCCATTTCTGGTGATGTCAGTTTTATACTACCATTGTTGGTTTTATACCCATGTTATACTACCATGGTTGGTTTTAGACTACCATTTCTACTGATGTCCAGTAGTACAACATATCGAAATTGTGGCTAAATCCAACCCATGATCTAAGCATCCCATAGCTCCGCTCCGGAAAGTCAAAGAAATCCAGTATTTCTTTGCATCTATGAACCTCCATTTATATATAATTATAAATATACAGTATTTTTAATTATATATATAGTATATACATATAGTATATATATAATTATGTATATATATATAATTATATATATATAATATAATATTATTTCCCAGCTTACCACTGCCGTTTTTTCAATCATGCATGGCAGCCATGGGGCCTGGCCGTTCCATCGATCAGCACTTGGCCGTTATGAACCACCTGGTCCTGCGGCACGGCCCAGTCGAAGCGCTGGACATCTGGTTGGGTCCCACTTGCGGGAAGGAGCCATCGTAAGTAGTTTATAATCCATACATACATATGTGTTTATATATATATATATATGTGTTTATGTATATATATGTATGTATATATATATATATATGTATGTATATATATATAATTATATATATATATGTCATATTTATATTAATAGAGCTGGGGATATGCCATTAACCTAGCTCCGACAGGTGTATAATATTGGAAAAACCCTCTAGTTGCTTGGATTTGCAAAAGAAAAGCCCCAAAAATAATTCTCAATAGATTCCCCAAATGGGATAGTCAACGAATCACCTTCAGCAAATCCCAAATCCAGGTTTTGGGGAACAACTAGGGCTTTTTGTAAATGTTCCCTTCAAAAGTCACATTTTCAGACCAACAGCAATACAGTATTGAAGACCAATGCATGCTGCGAAATTCAGAGATCAATCGTGATCTTTGTTATAAACCATTTGCCAAGAAGTAGTCATACAGCAGCTCCCTCATTTCTGTAGCCCCCCATCTCCATCGAAGGTGTTCAGTTGAGCCCAACTATCCAGTTTCAACTCCAATTCACCATCTTCATGGGATTGGTTTCAGGGGAAATCTATGGGAACCCCCCTATAACTGGTGGTTAATAAAAACACGTTTCTTGTAGGTTTTCCCTTCAACCAATCCATTGATATGTTGTTTCAAATGTTCCAAGATGTGCTAAGCCACACAAAATCCAGCTCACAGGGGTTGCAGCCCTACAGGTTTTGTCTAGAATGCACCAAAGACATCCAAAGACTAATGGTTGATCACGCTTCTTCTCCATTTCTTTTTTTAAACAGACACCCCTTATGGATGTGTTTCCCAGGCAGTAAGTGGGTCATACCGACTATGAACCATGGTTATGATTTGATTATGCATATGGAACTGTATCCGTAGAATATGAATATACCGTATATATACCCAGTTACACAAAGCTTAATATAAATATAGTTCATCCTGTTTTATCAAGTTACCAATAGTGTCATGTTTACATATGTACATAGTAGGTCGGGTGCACATCCAATCACAATGCGGTGTTGCTAAACGCTATGTTTGTTCGCTCATAACATGTTATAATCTAGCCAACTATAGAATCTCTGCGAATCTACAGATATATTATTGTATTCCAACTATAGAATATATATCTAGATACATATGTATTTATTTAGCATACTCCGTAGCAAAGCTATAGTTCTACAGCAGCTCAAACTACGAGGCACCGGGCGTGCCTTGGGAGGGAGCGTGGAGTCATGCAGCGTCGGGAGAGGGGCCCAAAAGACGTTGCGCGTGCCGGGGGACGTGACCTGGAGACGTCACGTATGGTGTCAGTATCTACTGTACATATATACCATATACATTATCTATATATTATAATATGTACAGTATGTATATACTGGTAGGTATGTAGAAGTATCATATATATGTATGTATGTATGTATGTGCTGTAAACAACATAAGACAGTTATAATGTTTATCTATATATATATATGATTTAAATAAATAAATATATATATATATATGTATAGCGACACATTCCACACGCATGGGTGCATGTGTATGTGTCTCCTTATCTACAGACCTACCTACCTACATACCTATCTATCCATCCATCCATCTATCCATTTGTCTCTCTATCTATCTTTCTATCTATAATATACATACATATATATATACATATTTACACATAGAGATGTACGTTGGACAAAATGGTTGACCGTGCTTGATATATTGCCCCAAAAATCAGGGGCCCAAAGCTTGGAGGTTCCAAATGGTATTGGTTGATAGAACTAACCAACAAAAAACAGCAGCAACAAGACTTGGGACATAACTTGGAAATGATGTTTTTTGCTGATGGTTAGACTTTCCATTGGTTATGATGTAACTGGACATAACCATCATTTCCTAACCATCATTTGAAGCCAAATGGCACAAACAAACCACAGATATCTCCTTATTACCTGCTGGTGTACACAGTGTCCAACAGCTGACTTTGGCTGCCATTCCTAGTAAACGGAGTAGCGAATTGACCAAAGGAAGCAAGATGGAGTCAGCAAATTCAATGAAAGGTTCGGAGGTAGCCTAACTGACGCCCTCAAACGACATGAGGCTGATTTTGTGCTAGGTTCCGCACCCACCTACGAGAACCTCCCACTCTCCGCACACTTTCTTAGATACAGCCTCTCTGATGGAATTGGATACTTTTCTTAAAGTAAAACACAACAACAGACCCTTTCACAACTTTTTGACCTGTACACCTCTATTGAAGAGATTCATCTGGTGGGACAGCTGCTCTATGCGCTTAAAGTTGCCTCCCTAGGCCATACACACCTATTTCAATTTGTTTTTTTGATCTGGGCACCAGGAACAAACACTTTCCAGACCCATTTTGGGGCCCGGTGTCCCTTGAAAAAAAAACCAAAGAATCGGTCTCGTGGGGCTTTTTTGTCCGAGGCCGTCCGCTAAAAAAATACCCGCATGAAACAGATACTACTCGAAAATCAGCCATAAAAAGCCTCTGGGTAGATTGGGTAGATTACTCATCACCCATGTAAATATCATTTAATATCATTTACACTCTGGTTATTTAACATAGCCATGGAAAATAACCCATTTATAGATGATTTATCATGATTTACCTATTAAAAAAGGTGATTCTCCATAGCTATGTTAGTCATAACCAGAGGGTAAAGATATTTATAGATGGGTGATTTTATATCAATTAATAGATGATTATACCAATTATACCAATAGATGATTTTATATCAATATCATGGAAAATCATTTAAATTACTAATCATTTATAGATGATTTTCGGAGCCCATTGAGTGTTCACAGTCCATCTAGTTGACGCCGGCATCTGCTAGCAAGGAGCGACGATGAAACGTTCAGGCCTCACCAGGACGCGCCGATCCGTTTGCCCTAGGAGATGGTGGGCAACTTAATACCCTCTAGTAATTTAACATAGCTATTGAAAATCACCATTTTTAATTGGAAAATCCACTATTAATGGTCATTTTCAATAGCTATGTTAAATTACCAGAGGGTACACCAAACCAGAAACTATCCAACGCTATCCAACAATCGTATCCAAGCATAGTATCCAACCATGTGATCCAAATAGCAGAACTGGCGTAAAAATTACAGATAACCAGTAATATATTCTATAAATTATATATATATACACCACTTGGTAATGATGGTACCTACATGTACGTACTACTTATTATATACATTGGGTCATGACCTAGTTCGTCAACAGTGGATTGGATTCTCCAGGATCGCAGTGATTCATGGCTGATGACCAACAGACCAAGGGTCCAATAAAAAAACGGAACAGGACATTCTAATGGTTATCAAAGGACATTATAATCTATAATGGTTATATGGTTATACATTAAAACAAACATTACAAATAAATATGGATTATCATGTGTGAAATTGCTGTAGCTTAATCTTGTGGCCTTGATTCACATATTTCAATGGAAGACACTAAGAGAAACCAGATGAAACTTTGAATTCATCCAACTCATTTGGGGTTTCCCCATAACACAGGAAAACAAACAACTGTTAATACAACCAAATTAGGTAAATAAATATTAACAGCACCCAATTTCACCATCATAACACAGGAAACAACGCCAATCATCGTAAGAAAAAAATGGAAATGGCTTTGTCTCAATTTGAGGTGCCCCGAGGGACCCACAAAACCATCTTTTTACATCGCAGGTCTATGATGCATAAATCAAAAGGTAAACAAATCTATGTACATAGTACCTGTGTGTACACATGTACGTACATAATATATATATATATACATACATATAAGAATGTAGTTACATATGTACATGTATATACATGTGTATATATATATAGTGTAAAGACATGTAACCTTCCCCCACTTCATTTCTCAAGAGATTCCAATAAACATTGCGCCGCCTCTCATAGCCGGTGTCTCGCGACAGCAGCAGGGCCACTGCTGCAATCACACCTGGGAGATCCGTCCACTGCCGCGGCAAACCCTCTAAACATGGCCATGATGCAATCAGCTTCTGATGGATGGTTGATTATGAATAATCTGGGGGTTTAAGTTTTGGGATTATTTATAGAGGTTTATTGGGATTTTAGTGGGATGCCATTGTGAATTAGGCCATAAAACCCATTTGTAGATAATTCTTTGGCATTTATATAGGGGGGCCTAGAATCTTTGAACAACCAGTTTTGTTGCCAAGACAAGTTGGAACCAATAGGGTCAGGTTCAGAAAAGGTTTTAATCCTCAACATGCTGAGTGGATCTGACATTCCCTTTATATTAATATCTTTACAAAAATACAGGTCGAAACTGGAACGTATATTCCTCCAGTTGTTCTAACATGTACAGTACGCCATGAAAACCTCTCAAACAACCCTAAGATCAGTCCGACCAAAGATACCCGCACCAATCCAGGAATGCCACGTCATGGTGACTCCCGCATGATGAACCTTTAAGATTGGCAGTTATTGAAGTCTGGTTCTTGGTGGTCACTGAAGGTTACTGACCTCTATTCATAAGCCCATCCATTGTTTGACGTATCACTTGGCTAGGTGGGTGACAGTATATATAATATATATATATATACAGTACATACGTACATATGGCAGTTCAGCCAGCAAGCAATTCTGCACACCCTGGTTTTTTCTTGGTCACTGCTAAAAAGGTACAGTTATCTCTGTCTTCATATCGTATATGATGTGTATATATATATAATATAGATAGATACCTTGATATACCTTGTACTATATTACTTGCATAATATATACCCTCTGCTTATTTAACATAGCCATGGAAAATGGCCCATTTATGGAGGATGTTCCCACTGAAACCTCCATATTTATAAGGGATTTTCCATGGCTATGTTAAATAACCAGAGGGTATATATATATTATATATATTATATATACATATATTATATATATATTATATATATATTATATATATATTATATATATATTATATTATATATATATATTATATATATATTATATATATTATATATATACATACTATAATATGCCCTTCCCAAATCATTCCCCCGATTTTGTGCCAGCGCAGGGTCACAGGCGTTCACAGGGGTCCCACACCGATGGAGCCAACCAACGGCCCAAGAGCCATCTTGCGCCCTGGGCCCCAGTAGGCCCCCGGGCTGTGAACGGATTAAGATCTTTAGTTCCGAAATTGACCGATTTTTCGCCCAAAATTTTTCCATGGTTAATCAAGGTTAATCATGGTTAATGATGATCTGGTTGGTGGTGAAATTTCACCATCTTGAAAAATGATGGAGTGAAAGTCAATGGGTTCCGGATTTTTCACCATTAAAAAAAATGGAAAATAATCCATTCATGTTCCAAACCACCAGCCGATCGCCTCAACACATCAACTCGCCAGCGCCTGCAGCTTGCAGGCAGCAAGAAATGTCCAGCCAACCGATTTTTATAAGATGATGGAACCTGAACATTGCATTCACGCCTGGATCATAAATTTATACCATAGGTGATCATAGGTGATTTCCCAACTTTGACATAACCGAGGTCTACGTGGCTTTATTAACTTAAGAATTACATATGCACAAAGTGAGGGCACCAAACGGATGGTGATTGGGACTAAGCTTGACTGGTCACAAGTTGGATCGGTTTATAAACCAACCTATCATTGAGGGGCCCACTCTGTATACACATAATCTTGTAGCTGTATTGAATGGGAGCAGGCGCCACTTGCAACAACCGCTCAACCAATCTCAGGGAAGATATGGCTAGTTGCTAGTTTCAATATATCAAGAGATATCAAAAGAAGACTGACAGTCCCTGCTTGATTAGTGACAAAGTATGACAAACATCAACATCGTACTACCCCGACAACCTAAGCCCCCCAAGCTGTATATAAGCTGGTTTACGTTCAACAATCTAGCTATAGCATGCTATAGCCACAATAAACCAACACTTGACCTAGCTATAACATGTTATAAACCAGTGTTGCTAACTATGGTACCAGTACTGCCCCAATAAGACCAAACAGCAGATTCAACCCGATTCTGCTCGGTCAACGTTCCACATCGCCTCGCCGCTACGTTTGGGGGGTGGTTTTGGGTTCGCGCCCGGGCGCCGGGCGACTTGAGCCGGAAAGTCAATGGCGACTCATCAAGTCAATCATGGACACAAAAACACCAAATATGTGCACGCATAGCTATTGAAAATGGCCATAGAAATAGTGGATTTACCCATTAATAGCATGGTGGATCTTTCCATAGTTTTTTGTAAACGTTTACCAGAGGGTAACAGGGCAGAAAAAAATCATCCTGCAATCACCGGAATAACTTGATTGAACCAACCCAACAAATCAAGGTCTGAACATGGGAGTTTCCTAAGTCATGGGGGTTCCCCATGACTAATGGATGGTTTATGAAAAATGGAAACTCCCAACCAACATGGCTGATTTGGGGAAATCCCCCATGACTTAGGAAACTTCCACTAGAAAACAACGTTCATCCTGCATGTTTCTTTGATCTTGTTAGCTGGCAAGTTAAGTTTTGTTCTGTTCCTAGTCTTTCTGGTACACGAAGAGTTTAAAAAACTATCGCACCAAGCATCATCCAGCATAACGGCTACGACAATCAACATATTGGACTTGTCTGAAGATAGTCTACCGGGTACCCCATTCCAACAACTGTTCATCATTTTCCTTACCCTTTGGTTATTTAACATAGCCATGGAAAATCATCACTTTAAAAAGGTATATCAGGTATATCATATAATTATATATATATATAAATGGGTCATTTTCCATAGCTATGTTAAATAACCAGAGGGTATGGCTTTTTTTTTAATCATTTGGAGGGGCCATGGCGGCCACCCCAGTGACATGTCCATCCAGGGGTGCGGCTCGTCAAGTCATCTCAAGCACAGACGTCCTCACCTTTCCGAGCCCAAGATTCTGCACCCACAGATGCTATAGCTATTGAAAATTGCCATTTATAGCCATTTATAGCCATTTGTAGCCATTTATAGCCATTTGTAGCCATTTGTAGCCATTTGTAGCCATTTATAGCCATTTATATCTATAGCCTATAGCTTTGAATGGGGAAAAAAAACACACAGATGCTATAGCTATTGATTTTTCCCATTCAAAATTGCTTTTTTTTGTTTTCCATAGTTAATAGTTATAGTTTACCAGAGGGTATAGAATGGTCCATTTGGTTGGGTATCACATTCATCCATTTATTCTAGAAAAAAACAAGACATCACAAGACTTCTGTTTAAGCAGGGTATTACATTCACCGATGTAAATCACAGAAAAGTGATGCTAGGACTAGGAGACCAGTGATGGTGTGGCTCAAGACACATAAGACACTGGGTAGAACGGTATACCGAGAAACGGGACGGTTCATGTCAATGCGGTAAGCTCTAAGCCATAAATCATGTCTACAGTAAAGTCTTTTCTAAACACGATATAAAATCTATATAGAACCTAAAGACCCTATTGCAACATATTGCAACTCGCGTTGGGTTCATTATACATTGCAAACGACTCATGTGATTGACATGGCTTGGGGTCCACATGACATCGATCTCCCAAGTCGCACCATTTCTCACAGCATTTTCTCGTGTAAGCCATCGGCGCACGCAACAGCGCCATGTCCAAAACTGCAGTGGCAGCTGCCCGGGCTGTGCCCCATGTCCAACCTGTGTTGGGCACACCTCCCGTGTGCAGAGCTCACTTGCATGTTGTTGTCATGTTTCTCAGCTGTTCTCAGACCTGTAAATATGTCCTCAGCAAACATGTCATTTCATGCACGTATGGGTGAGCATCCGGCCTCACCAGCGTTTTTGTGTGAACAGCTACTGTTGCTGAGGTGACATGCACCATACCCAAGTGATTTAACCCTTGTCTTGTTCTGTTTGCACATGACTTGAACCCAAAAATCCTCATCTGGTTGGTGGTATACCTACCCCTCTGAAAAATATGAGTCAACGTCAGTGATCATCATTCCCAAAATATATAGAAAGTCATAATCCATTCATGTTCCGAAGCACCAAAAATCCTCATGGTTGATGCCGATGCCGAGTCATTTCCTGTACCTTCAGCCTCTGACTCAGTCTACACGCTTCCGAAGCTCACCCTCGCGGACACCACACGGTGACGATAAGCAACCCACACTCTGGGTGTGACGAAAAATCATGGGTAAAATAAGGGGAAAACGAAGATGAATGGAACAAATATGGAGAAAATAGAGACAACATGAGACAACTATGATTCACCAGCAGATTGAATGGGGTACTTGTTTTTTCCAAAACACATGTGGTTCATATGAGAAACCCTCTGAAAAGGGTGGCAAACATCTTTCATGTTCAAAAGGCAAATCTTCTAAACAACATTTTAAATCGGATTCCCTCAAAACCTGCAGAAATTGGTTCATTGAAGAAAGATAAACCCATCAAAATTAACCCGTCAAAGCCAATACCGAAAAAGAGTGAAACCGATTTTCGGGATACAAAATGATACAAAGAGAAGGTCTGGTATGTTTGGCTCCATGCCTCCTTGTGTTTTTTGGATCAACTGCATATGCATCGACACCAGTACTATGCATGATCTGGGTCATCAAATCATCATTTCCAGGCATGGACATTTCCAGGGGGGCAAGAGGACAAGTAGCCGCTACAACACATGATAAATGGAACTCAGCCCATTCACGGGAAAGGCTTCATTACATGTTAGTCACCAACCGGAAATGTTAAACAAAAAACATGTGGTTTTCGAAGCATCATCTACGGTGACTTCCGGTCATTAGGTCATGACGGAAGTTTTTCGAATCCAACAAATCTCCCCATCTTCCCGAAATATCTCGAAATTGCAATATATGGTGAGGAAAAGTCTCCACAATCGGAAAACATCTGTTTAGAACCTATAACCCCAGTATATCCCAATGGCTCCCTTTTTCCAATCCGCTTCGTTGCCTCCTTCTCTTCCTCCTTCTTGGACTCCATCTTGGTCTCTGGCCTCTTGGGGATGAAACATGAAAGCAGCGGAAAATGACATGGCTATGACATAACTCTGAGCTATAACAGTTCACTGACCTGAAAAAAACCTGCAACTTTGGGATATTCCCCCTATCATTGGGTGTTTTTTCATGGATGAATCAAGTCCCTAGATTCACCATCATTCCAGTGAGGGAGAACACTGACGCCTCTTCCTCAGTGGGATGATAACTACTTCACCAAGCACATTTCCATCCACCCCTTGGGTCGTGAAATGTGACCTACGCTCCCCCAAAAAAGTCTTTAGCTCGTATCAGTAGGCCAAGCTGAAATCTTACCCTCTGGTAAACGTTTACATAACTATGAAAATCACCATTTTTAATGGGTAAATCCACTAGAAATGGCCATTTTCAATAGCTTTTTGTACGTTTACCAGAGGGTACCCCTGGTGATCTTCGAATATGTCCCCACTTCAGCAGATTAGACCTCTGGACAATCCACAGCTTTGTAGCAAGACACGTTTCGCACTAATCAACATAGATGGGCTCCCAAAGAAAAGCCTCAATTTTTCAACTTTCAAATGCTGGTTGGTGGTTTCAACCCCTCTGAAAAATATGAAAGTCAATGGGAAGGATTATCCCATATATTGGAAAATAAAAAATGTTTGAAACCACCAACCAGAATATAGTTTATAGATGAGTTACTGGAAAATCTTCCCAACTTTTATGAGAAAAATCATCATAATTCATAGGATTACATCTATAGATGGACAGGAAAGGTTCCAGCCTTGACGCTTTCTCCTTAGTATCCCTGAGATGCGACACTGGGAGTCCAGACGCTTTACCGTCCTTGGAGTCTGCCATCAGCTGTTTGGAAAACCTCAGAGTTATTGCAGCGGGATCCTCTGGGAAACATGGCAAATGAAGATCCGATAATATCCCATGTATAGCATGATATATAACCAATATATACCATGATATATCCCATGTATACTATAACATACCATATAATTATGTATATAATATATTATAATATACTGTAATTGGGGTTTTCATGGGAACATCATCTATGAATGGAGAATTTTCCAGCAAGCCATGCTTGATTACCAGAGGGACTGTCAAAGGGGATCATCTAGAAATCATGGAGTTCCGTTGCCAGTTCAAATTACTACAGGGTGCCAGCGCACACGTGAGATTGCCCTGTGAGGCTCAAGTTCATGGAATATCCAAAACATGATCTGACGGATGGCACAGTACCTCCCTTTACGGCCCCGGAATGGGCCATTGATGCAGATTGAGAATTGAGATTTGGTCTATTCCGACTTTATTTTATCCTTCATTAGCTGTATATGAGCGCAGAAGTTTCTGTATGTACTTGGTATCTGCTGACCTTGCTAAGAATGTGGAAGTGGACTTGTCCTTTTTTTGCGAGGGTTTCTGGTTATTCTGTGTCAGGGACCACCATCAGGGGTTCATGATCATTGCTATAGATACAATCACAACTATACGTTTTTGCTGCGCTTGTAAATCATAATTACAAAACACTAACATCCACTAACTATAACTTGTCTAACAAATCATTATCACTCGTATAACCACTATCGTCCAGCAATTTAATATTGTCATGGAAAATGAACCGTTGTGTAGATGATGTACTTATTTAAACACAACATGTATATATGTTTAAAAAAAACACTGTGATTTTCCATAGCAACTACAGTAGTATGTCAAATTACCAGAGGGTAGTAGTTACCCGCTGACTATAACTTGTATACGATCAATCTAACCAGCAGCAAACTCACACACTAAATTATCTAGAATTATCCATTAACCATTTCTATTCATCATTTCTATGAACCATTTATAGCCAGTAACCATTTCTATTAACCAATCATTAACAATTCATTAGCCAATGGCATTTCCACTAAGTTTTAATTGCTCTCCGAGGCGCTCGCTCGCCTGCTGGGCCTGGCATCCATAGCCAACATGGCACATTCGGAATGGCGGTTTTCTAAACAAAGGGGGTACCTCAAAATGGATGGTTTATAATGAAACATCCCCTGAAAATCGATGATTTGAGGGCAGTATCCCGTATCTTATATTTTAGGAAAGCTCCATAGAAAGGGGAACAGCCACTACTATATGTCGACATACACTGTAAACTGTAAACATCTTTAAACATAAAATATGTCTCAACATGTATCAATTTGAGAACATGTATGAACATGTGAACATAGTTATGACTCGTGCGACTACCTTAGTAGGAATAGATTTGTTTGGGGAAGAAAAGTGAACACAGACGTTAGCAGCATGGAAACCGATCAGACAAACTGGTGAAGAACATGCAAAACAAGAGGGAACAACAAGTACTTGGAGAGTCGTGGTTTTATAAAGTTACTTGGCACTTTTACCACAACAGTTAAGACACAACCTACAACCATGCTTCAGGTTGTTTATATTCAGATGAACAACACATAAATGTATCATCTCAGGAATTGCAACCGGGTAACCCTCTGAGGTCAAAATGTCCCAGGCATCCCAACAGACCCCGTTTGGAGATGCTGTGCCATCTGTGGTAAGCCCCAACAACCCACGTGGCTAGCAAACATGAGATCTTGGCAGATCCAGCAACAATCAGCGGACATCAGGTGTAAGTGCAACAGTTTTCTGACGTTCAAAAGCCCTTAGGTCATCCAACGTCATCCCGGCTTGTACAAGTTGGTTGAGAGCGGCTTCGCATTCTGGGTCATAATCCTCCCCAAAAGTGCAAACCAAACAGTGGTTTAGATAGTGTAAGTATAACCCATGAAAAATCAGAAAAGCCTGGTTTCTGGTCACTGGTGTTGAGAAAGTTGTTGATTTGGCCAACGCTGAAATTCATGGAGATTTTTCGAGGAGCAACCCAGACGAAGCATCCCTGAGTGATCCCAGTTGATATCGCCTTGTTGCATCTATAGTATACCCTCATGTTGCTCAACCCAGCCCTTTCCCTGGCTCAAAAAGATTCAAAAAGCACGTGTGCAGCTTTATCACCAAAATGATGATCCCCTCTGGTAATTTGTTACATAGCTTTTGAATGCTTTTGAAAACGGTGATTTATAGTGGATTTACCAGTTGAACATGGTGATTTTCCATATTTTTGTAAATGTTTACCAGAGGAATGTTTCCCACCCACTGCCTGTCGCTTCATAGCGTCCAAATTGAGTTCCAGCTTCGCATAGCGTCTCAGCAGTGCGAAATCGGTCAAAAATGGCTTGGATCGCATGGGAATACATGGGAATATACGTGGCTTGTCTTGCATCCCCTGCTAGCCTGTTCAGTGGATACAGAGATATACAGAGTGTGTATGTTTGATGCATCCATGGCCTACATTTATCATAGGGCATCACCTTAAATACCCCACAAATCCCATGGCTCATCATCCCATGGCTCATCATCCCAGTGAAGATTTAGTAAATTTTGGGAGTATCATCTGGTTAATGTAGGATACAGATTAGTACAGGGGGGTCCCCCTAACAAATTTAGGATACACAATAGTGTGGAAATAAAAAGGAATCTGGTACACAATAGTGTGGAAATAAAAGGGAATCTGGTACACAATAGTGTGGAAATAAAACGGAATCTGGTACACAATAGTGTGGAAATAAAAAGGAATCTGGTACACAATAGTGTGGAAATAAAAAGGAATCTGGTACACAATAGTGTGGAAATAAAAAGGAATCTGGTACACAATAGTGTGGAAATAAAAAGGAATCTGGTACACAATAGTGTGGAAATAAAAAGGAATCTGGTACACAATAGTGTGGAAATAAAAAGGAATCTGGTACACAATAGTGTGGAAATAAAAAGGAATCTGGTACACAATAGTGTGGAAATAAAAAGGAATCTGGTACACAATAGTGTGGAAATAAAAAGGAATCTGGTACACAATAGTGTGGAAATAAAAAGGAATCTGGTACACAATAGTGTGGAAATAAAAAGGAATCTGGTACACAATAGTGTGGAAATAAAAAGGAATCTGGTACACAATAGTGTGGAAATAAAAAGGAATCTGGTACACAATAGTGTGGAAATAAAAAGGAATCTGGTACACAATAGTGTGGAAATAAAAAGGAATCTGGTACACAATAGTGTGGAAATAAAAAGAATCTGGTACACAATAGTGTGGAAATAAAAAGGAATCTGGTACACAATAGTGTGGAAATAAAAAGGAATCTGGTACACAATAGTGTGGAAATAAAAAGGAATCTGGTACACAATAGTGTGGAAATAAAAAGGAATCTGGTACACAATAGTGTGGAAATAAAAAGGAATCTGGTACACAATAGTGTGGAAATAAAAAGGAATCTGGTACACAATAGTGTGAAAAATAAAAAGGAATCTGGTACACAATAGTGTGGAAATAAAAAGGAATCTGGTACACAATAGTGTGGAAATAAAAAGGAATCTGGTACACAATAGTGTGGAAATAAAAAGGAATCTGGTACACAATAGTGTGGAAATAAAAAGGAATCTGGTACACAATAGTGTGGAAATAAAAAGGAATCTGGTACACAATAGTGTGGAAATAAAAAGGAATCTGGTACACAATAGTGTGGAAATAAAAAGGAATCTGGTACACAATAGTGTGAAAAATAAAAAGGAATCTGGTACACAATAGTGTGGAAATAAAAGGAATCTGGTACACAATAGTGTGGAAATAAAAAGGAATCTGGTACACAATAGTGTGGAAATAAAAAGGAATCTGGTACACAATAGTGTGGAAATAAAAAGGAATCTGGTACACAATAGTGTGGAAATAAAAAGGAATCTGGTACACAATAGTGTGGCAATAAAAAGGAATCTGGTACACAATAGTGTGGAAATAAAAAGGAATCTGGTACACAATAGTGTGGCAATAAAAAGGAATCTGGTACACAATAGTGTGGAAATAACAAGGAATCTGGTACACAATAGTGTGGAAATAAAAAGTAATCTGGTACACAATAAGTGTGGAAATAAAAAGGAATCTGGTACACAATAGTGTGGAAATAAAAAGGAATCTGGTACACAATAGTGTGGAAATAAAAAGGAATCTGGTACACAATAGTGTGGAAATAAAAAGGAATCTGGACACTATAAAAAGGAATCTGGTACACAATAGTGTGGAAATAAAAAGGACTGGTACACAATAGGGAATAAAAGGTTGGTAGCTGGTACTTACAATAGTGTGGAAATAAAAAGGAATCTGGTACACAATAGTGTGGAAATAAAAAGGAATCTGGTACACAATAGTGTGGAAATAAAAAGGAATCTGGTACACAATAGTGTGGAAATAAAAAGGAATCTGGTACACAATAGTGTGGAAATAAAAAGGAATCTGGTACACAATAGTGTGGAAATAAAAAGGAATCTGGTACACAATAGTGTGGAAATAAAAAGGAATCTGGTACACAATAGTGTGAAAAATAAAAAGGAATCTGGTACACAATAGTGTGGAAATAAAAAGGAATCTGGTACACAATAGTGTGGAAATAAAAAGGAATCTGGTACACAATAGTGTGGAAATAAAAAGGAATCTGGTACACAATAGTGTGGAAATAAAAAGGAATCTGGTACACAATAGTGTGGAAATAAAAAGGAATCTGGTACACAATAGTGTGGAAATAAAAAGGAATCTGGTACACAATAGTGTGGCAATAAAAAGGAATCTGGTACACAATAGTGTGGAAATAAAAAGGAATCTGGTACACAATAGTGTGGCAATAAAAAGGAATCTGGTACACAATAGTGTGGAAATAACAAGGAATCTGGTACACAATAGTGTGGAAATAAAAAGTAATCTGGTACACAATAAGTGTGGAAATAAAAAGGAATCTGGTACACAATAGTGTGGAAATAAAAAGGAATCTGGTACACAATAGTGTGGAAATAAAAAGGAATCTGGTACACAATAGTGTGGAAATAAAAAGGAATCTGGTACACAATAGTGTGGAAATAAAAAGGAATCTGGTACACAATAGTGTGGAAATAAAAAGGAATCTGGTACACAATAGTGTGGAAATAAAAAGGAATCTGGTACACAATAGTGTGGAAATAAAAAGGAATCTGGTACACAATAGTGTGGAAATAAAAAGGAATCTGGTACACAATAGTGTGGAAATAAAAAGGAATCTGGTACACAATAGTGTGGAAATAAAAAGGAATCTGGTACACAATAGTGTGGAAATAAAAAGGAATCTGGTACACAATAGTGTGGAAATAAAAAGGAATCTGGTACACAATAGTGTGGAAATAAAAAGGAATCTGGTACACAATAGTGTGGAAATAAAAAGGAATCTGGTACACAATAGTGTGGAAATAACAAGGAATCTGGTACACAATAGTGTGGAAATAAAAAGGAATCTGGTACACAATAAGTGTGGAAATAAAAAGGAATCTGGTACACAATAGTGTGGAAATAAAAAGGAATCTGGTACACAATAGTGTGGAAATAAAAAGGAATCTGGTACACAATAGTGTGGAAATAAAAAGGAATCTGGTACACACTAGTGTGGAATCAAAACATGATATATTTCAATTGATTTCAATTTGTTTTCAATTGATTTGAAGTTACTTTCAATTGAATTCAATTTACTTTCAATTGATTTCAATTTACTTTGAATTGATTTCAATTTACTTTCGATAGGTAAACCGTAAACCTTCTATTTTTATGGGCCATCTATACCATGGCTATGTTAGTCAAAACCAGAGGCTATAGCTTGTGAGACAAACCCAATATCCCAAGATCCAGAAACAACGTCTGTTTCTTCCATCCTCGCCGAAGAGACCCAGTGATCACATGCAACGCCTGGATGGCCTGGCTGGAAAACTCTACGGTTGAGACCTCAAAAAAAAAGGTGGTAAAAACCAAAAAGGGTTTCTGTAGATTCTTAGACCAAAGCGTTGAGCGATTTTGGGAATAGCATATGGGAATGCAGGACTTCAATAACGATGGTTTTTACAACTGTTGCCAAATTTGTAGATGAGGGTCAATCATGGTCAATCAGGGTATCATTGCATATCTGGGACAGTGACGGCACTGAGCCAGCTTCTTACTATGATGTGAATCCCAAATGCAAAGTTGAACAAGTAGAGATACTGAACAGTCAACTAATCAACTAACATCTGAAGTGCTAAATTACTACTGTTGATAGTTGAAGACTGTTCAATGACAATAGTTAAACTAAACAGTGCCAATCTAAGATACTCTGCAACAAAAATAAATTCTTAGCTGGTCAGTCGATGATCCCATTGATACCAAAAGACTAAAGAATTAGAGTACCCACCTAAGATTGACCTAGCAGCCTCGGGTCACACCCGCGCGCCATCATGGCGGCAAGGTTGAGAGCGAGCACCAAAGCGCCCTCCTTTGGTAGAAAACGTCAGGGCTGACCCCCAATTATCCGATTAGTCTAGCATGGTTTAAGATAGTTTAAGATATTTTAACTATATCTAGAATCTAAGAAAACCTATTTGTGGATATGGATCAAAAATGCTCCAGTTTACGAATATTGGATATTGTCGTGCCATTTATACCTCGAACTACCATTTTCGGAGGCCCCGATGTGAATAAAGATGTGAATCCATTTTTTTAATCTTATATTTTCCATTGGAGTTTTCAATCATGGTGGACCAAATGATTGGGAAAAGCATGACTGGTTCATACCTCCAAATGCGCCCGGCTCCTTGGCTGCATAGGCCTGGCTAATCATCCAGTGATTGAAGCTGGGAAAGGGTGATTGAAATGTGACTTTACGGTGTCACACAGAACCATCCGTCAATGGATTGGTTTAAGGGAAAATTTACAGGAAAGCCCAATATTTAATAGGAAAATCTATGGTTTCATGTAGATTTTCCCTTAAACCAATCCATTGAATCCGGGCAAGTCTTATCATAAAAAAAGGGCTGGTTGAAGGGACAGTTTGTAGGAAAAGACAGATAATTGACTCCAAAATGGGTTTGGGTTTCCTGCAAAAAATCCTTGATCAAGATCTAGAACTACTTACAAGACTGATCAAGGCCTTACTATTCATGATCTATGATTCTGTAGTGATCCAGTTGTGAGATCACGATTAAATTTAGCCATGGACAATGGACATGTATTGTTTATATCACTGTGTAAATTATAATCACACTTTATCATAGTTAATACTTGATATACTTGATGTTATTGTATCATGTTTATTCAATTTTGCCCAGTATAATCTCACGATTTGAGTAGAATTGCAGATAATGCTATGGCTACTCTTAGTGACACAAGTGACTTAAGCATACAATGATGATTATTAATGATTGCTATCACCAAAGGATTGAAAGTCATCGAATCGAAACCGTGATGTTTCTTGATGATTCAATATCAACGAGTGTCCTGACGGGACTACAGGAAGCATTTTTCACAAGTGAAAATTCAGTAGCAATTTTAAACTCAGTAGCATACTTTTACTGAGACAAATCTAGGATATGAACATATAAAATACAGTAATTAGACTGATTGATATTGTATTGGCAACAAAAACTTGTCCAGCTCGTTCAAGTGTGACCAGGTCCATGTCTACACCAAACACGAACACATCCAGTGGGAACAAAAAGAAAAACAAAAACAAACATGGATGTTTACCAGCGCTTCGCAGAGGCTTGTAACCATACAATCATACATAGGTTTAGATATGTTTGGAACTTTTGAAGTGTGCTTCCGTTCTTTAGCCACTTACCCTCTGGTAAATTAACATAACTGATGGGAAAACCACCATTTTTCATGGGAAAATCCACTATAAATGGTCATTTTCAATAGCAAACTGTTAAATAACCAGAGGGTAGTTGAACCCCACTTAGGCAAATTTGAGTCTGCCATTTTTGCAACGCGTCTCAAATAGAGAAATCCGATTCACAACTGAGATCCGTAAGTGGCTTCGAGTCTTACAAGTAGTCAATGTGACCCTAGTTATGCTAGTTGTCACACCAATGAAACATGCTGGTTGGTGGTATACCTACCCCTATGAAAAATATGAAAGTCAGTTGGGATGATGACATTCCCAATATATATATATATATATGGAATAATAAAATTCATGTTCCAAACCACCAACCAGAATGGCTTTGTCCAAAAATCAAAGATAGCCATGACGTCGTTTTGATGAGACGATGATGATCAACCAATGGATCTTGGGTACATCGAAAAATACCTGGTTGGTGGTTGAAAAAAAACTCCAGTGGTATCTGGTTGGTGGTGCAATAACCATGGTTAATAGTGATTAATAGTGGTTTATAGTGGTTATTAGTGATTAATACCTGATCTAATGAATAATATATCTGGTTGGTGGTTGAAAAACCATCTTGAAAAACATGAGTTCGTCAATGGGAAGGATTACATCCCATATATTAATATATATTATGGAAAATAAAATTCATGTTTGAAAGCACCAACCAAATACCCTATTAAAAGAAATAAAAAGATACATTGTTCGCTATTTGCCACTCATATCCTCTGATGTTAGCGGATTTCGTCCCCATTAATTGCCCTAATTCATCCAGATACATTGCCCCACATCATGCAAAGTTGAACATTTTTTAGTATTGAACCATGTTTTTTGAGAATCCCACATTTGAAGAAACCCTAATACCGTAATCTATCAAGCCAGTTATGTATATATATATATGGTTATATCATATATCTAATTGTTGTTAGCCGAATCCCAACTACAGTTGTATGTATATATATATTTACATATTTTGGAACATGTCGATGGAAGTAAAACGTCGCGTAGGCGTAGGTGCCTCGAACATCTGCGCTGTCTGCATGTCGCTTCCAGCCGCTGTTCCTGCCACGAGCCACGAACGTGGGGACCAATGTCGCCCGGTTGAAGGGAAAAATTGAATGATCGCAATGAATTCCGGTAGATACTGTTCACCTATGATTTAGGGGTCATTGAATATTTAGTTTGGGAGTTTGGTTAGCTTTATCTAGGGGGGATTGAAAAATCGTAGGTCAACATTAATTTGATATTGAACATATTTGAAGCATGTACATAATTGTGGTATAACTTAAACTATGACCATGTACATAATTGTGGTGAACTATGGAATTAAAAAACATGTGTCTTTCGCAAAAAAACTGTGGAAAAAAATGCAACTTGTCCCGTAATGGATTTTAATGGATGTTAATGGATTTTAGTAAGATCTTAATGGGATTTTACCATTAGGTAATCAAAGGTGGCACTGGAAAAAAAAAACTATAAATGGGGGTGTTGATGGACAAATCATCTATAATGGATTACAATAGTGGATTTCCATTGCCACATCTATAAATAGTGGATTATAATAGTGGATTAATACCTATAAATCATCTATAATTGATTATAATTGTGGATTTCCATGGATTTCCACTGCCACATTTGTTTACTTGATGTTTATCAAACATGCTTTGCTGGAAAAATCACCATGGTTCACCATGACTTTCCCTACGTCATGAATCCCCATGTCCAGGTTGACCAGAGGGTAACCATGGTTATCCCTCCCATATATGCACATTGTACCACGAGTTTTTGCTGCTTAAATCATGTTAAATCCCCCATGTTTCTTGGATTTCTTGGTCGAACAGAGCATGTTCCGCATTTTTTGCTGCTCTCACCTGGCTTGAAGACGTTGCGGACGCAGTCCAAACCTGGATTCGCGAGGCGCGCAGTCCAGATCCAGACTGCTCCATGACTCCATGTTCTCCAAAACATCCCCCAGTGTCCTCTGACCTAAATAAAGGGCTACAGCATTCTTTCATCTGATATCTTAGTTATTTACTTAGGGTACCTAAGGCCCAGCATTACAAGATCATAGATGGGCAAACTATGGCAAACTCATATACATATATATATATATAGTCTAGTATAATCTGAGCTGGGCATTATCTCTTCCCGCATTTATCACAAACATTCTTAAACGATGAAAGTATAAAACTACCCAACCAAGCAAGGTTAACCCAGAACCAGCCAGGTAAGAAAAGATGGGCTGATGAATAAACGTTTACGGAGATGCTAACTTGAGTCCAATGCATAAACCAAAGGTCTAGCTGAATTTTAACACTGCACAAACCATTTTGGGAAGATAAAATTTCAGCTAAACCTTTGGGTTGTGAAGATACATTTAGGATTTTAAGATACCAACACTTCCAGGTCATTTTGGGATGATTCCCCTAATTCTAACCATTGTCTATAGCGAGGTCGCGCGGAATAGCTCAGCTGAGCTGTGTACAAAGGATGGGCCATGGGTTGCTTAGTTCACTGGTTGCTTCGTTATATAAACATGTCCAAAAATGGGCAGTAAAAACACCAATGACCCAGGTAGTATAACCCTCTTACAATAATCTGGGTAAATTATAGTATTTCACTGACCTGAATAGTTCGGCCATTTGGAGATCATTTCCCTAAAATAAACCGTGATTCCCAGTATTCGGGAGAACAGTGAGGTCGTGATAAAATTTAACCAGCCATTGGTAATTCAACCATAGATTATTAACCATAGATTAACCATATTATATAACCATATTAACCATTATTAACCATTATTAACCATTATTAACCATTATTAACCATTATTAACCATTATTAACCATAGATCAACAGGGCTACTGTAGCGAAATAAATGACTCACATCCCATCCCACACCAAGTCGGCGCCGAGGTGCACAAGACCAGCATCACACACCAAATGATCTTCATCAGACCTCATTTTGAAACGCCCAAGCTGTAGCACTGGCACCACTCATTTTAAGCCTGGACCTTAGCCTGTGGCTGGGTAGATTTCACCAATGGCTATGATGAAATTCTATGATGAACTTGAGGTTTTTTAGTTTGGATGATCCTCCTTAGAGACTTGTTAACAATGTAGTGTCGAACTTATGATGCATATCGTTAATGCAAACCGCCTGGAAAGCAAAGCCAACGTGGACCCGACTGCTTCAACAAGGCGTGTCCTAGTCAAGAATGAGAGCATATGAGAGCAAGCCAACTTTTGTATATTCATATTTGATGATGAGGAGGTTCTATATACATGACTGCTTTCAAACAAGTTGGTATGGTCCTATAACTGCGATACCAATCGATTTCGTGTTTTTCTGTATCAAACCGTTCCATCCATTTTGGGGGGTTCAATCATGTTGATCCAAACAATGTAACAAGTACTGTGATGTTCCAAAACATACCATTAATGTCCGTTTGGAGGTTTCCTGAAAGATAGGATTTTTCATTATAATGTGGTTAAAACAATAATAAACCACCCATTTGGGAATGGTAACCGTACCACCTATAAAAATGGTGATGACTGGGGGATGGTTTATGATACATTAAACCAACCATGAATTGGGGATCCCCCATGACCAATAGAAACCCCCATGACTCTTACGTGGCACAACCTGCAGACCATTGGGTGCCTAACTGCACACAGGCGTATCCACCAAGATGGCCGTGATAGAGTGCACCGCGGACTGTGCGATCTTTTTCGGATGTAACAAAAAATACTGGATGTCTATTACCCATATGCTCCATGGTGCTGGTATGTTTACCTACAAAACTGGGTCATTTTGTTCGGGCAAATGTTGGGATTCATATTCCAGCACCATGGAGCAGATGGGTTATCTATAACGTTCATTTTATAGCTAGGCAAATCAAACTTTTCTATGGCCATTTTCAATAGCAAACTGTTAGTTTACCAGAGGGTAAAAAACGAAAATGAATTTCTATCACCGTAAGATGCATGTCCTATTGTTTTTTTTTGTTTATGTTTTCGGAGATGATAGATGATGATAGATGATGATAGATGATGATAGATGATGATAGATGATGATAGATCATGATAGATTATGATAGATGATGATAGATGATGATAGATGATGATGATGATAGATGATGATAGATGATGTAAATTTTAAATAAGTTTTAAATAAGTTTTAAATAAATTTAATATATCATCCATATGCGCCATGTATGGTACATCTAGCTCCGTTTAGCCATGCATGGACCTTGGATCTTGGGGAGTTCATCCCAACAGGATGGGGTCCCCAGTCGAGCGATAGCGTGAACCGTTGCACGCCTTATTTAACAGTGGCGAAAAAACGATGGTTTATGGTGTATATATATAACGAACTAGTTCATGGGGGTTATTTCATGGTTTATATACCAACTTATAACTGGGGGGGCCCATCCTGTAGATATAACGAACTAGGGCCCCATCCTGACGGGGATTGGATTTAAAAATAATTCTTGTATTCCTCACCTATTCCTGACCTTCATAAAGGCCTACCAAAATTTGAGTCTGGATCAGATCAAAACGATGGACCTAAGATGACCGGCTTCACGACCGACGTTGTTAAGGGACAGGCTTGAAGAAAGTGATCCACATCAGATTGACTCAAAAATATATGGTTCCCTCACAATAGTTAATAGGAATTGGATGGAATTGATGCGAATTAATACTATTAATACATATTAATACATATTAATACCTCCATAGTTGCACAGAGTCATAGAGTAAAAGATGTTTCCCTATTGTTTTCTTTCCACCAATCTTTTGTACCTTGAAGGCGTCTACATGAATGAACAGCGAACAGGTTGCCAATTTGGTTTGAAATGAGATCTCGATCAGCGTTTTGGAGTGGACATCTGTAGTCGTGAGAGAATCCAGGCTATGATACGTTATCATTGGATATATCATCACCTTAAATTTGATAAACCGTTTCCTAATACTCAAATAGCAATTGATTGAATCTTTGTATTTTTAATGCACACATGTCATCCCATTTCTATGTTCCCATCCGTATACTTGTTTGTATCCCTATTGGTAAAAACATGCCCAATCTTCGACTGCAAAGCAAAGCTCCTTAGGATTATATACCCTCTGATTATTGAACATAGCTCTGGAAAATTGCCTATTTATAGATGGTTTACCTAAAAACGGGGATTTTCCATGGCTATGTTAGTCATAACCAGATGGTATATGTTGTATCTACTCACATTTACCCAAAAGTTCCCCTTAAATATTGTTGGGCTATGACTATATAGTATCACTTACCTATATATTAAAAATTGGGATTTTCCATGGCTATGTTAGTCATAACCAGATGGTTAGTATCACCATTTAGGAGCAACAAAAATGGTTAGTACTATGACTAGTTCCTACTCACCACATCTTTGCTGCTTAAACGACACGGTGTCAAACATGGTTGGAACATCCACCAGCAATAGTTCGTTGAGGACTTCCCACCATTTCCGATTGCCACGTTTAAAAAAACACCAGAGGGAATCATGTGGCAAATCCATATAAATCCATATAAATTCATATAAATTCCCCATAAATCGGTATAAACCATCCCCACCATGCTATGTTTTTAAACTGCGCCGTGGCGCCAACCCCAAGCCATTTTCGGCGGCAACCCTCGGGGGCCTGCATTCCGCTACCGAGGTGAACCACCTGAGTGGTGGTGCTTGACCAAATTGCATGACATTTTAATATGGAGAATCAATGATAAGATGGAGAATCCATGGCAATATGGAGAATCAATGATAAATATGGTGAATCAATGTTAATATGGAGCATCAATGTTAGAATCATTAGAACCGTTTTCAATATCAATTGATATATATATATATAATATATATATGTATATATATATACTGATGTAATCCGAGAGTTCACTGGATTTCCCACTTCTATGACACCCTCTGGGTATGACTAACATAGCGAAGTGGAAAATCATCATGCTATTAATAGGTAAACCATCGATTTCTATGGACAATTTTCCATGGCTATGTTAAATAACCAGAGGGTAATACATAGTAGTCATTTGAATATCAATACTAAGAATAGTATCATCAGTATATACTAGTATCAATCGTCATGTTCACTCTTGATATTGATGTATAGTATTGTGCAGTCATGAATTTGAGATGCTTCATTACAGTAACTGCAAGAAAGAATGGACTATAATGGACTATACTAATATCATAGGACTGGTGTTTGACTATATATATATATAGTCATGCTGGACCATCATCTCAAAGGCGACCCACCACCTATATGCTAAGCAAGTAGCTACTGCAGAAGAACTTTGGGTTGCCAAGCACCGCTCAAGCATGCTCAAGCACCCTCAAATCTAGAATGGAACCTAAAACTTGCACAGTAATTAGTTTTAAGCCACAACGATTTCAGTGGGGCTGAAAAGAAAAATGATTTGAAATGATTTGAAACTGAGTATTTGGGGCAAGAACCACGATTCCGAATAACACTGAACCAGTATGCCTGAACATCCATTTATGTATAAAATTCTTGAAGCCAATTTCATCAAGCAAACCTCTGTAGCCTTATAGAAATTTCATGTGGTTCCTATGTCTAGTTGCCTAGCTTCAGCCATTCATCAAGGTGAAGGTGGACTTTCTCGAAAGCCCCAAGGCTCTGACAGCTGCATACTGTACAGCAATCAGCGGGAGCCAGAGAAGGAGCGGCCAATAGGCCAAACCTGAGCGGTGACCAAGGGCCCCAAGATGAGCAGCATTCTTTCAAGAACTGGGATGTGATATGAAACTGGGATTTAAAGCTTCAACACTTGAGACGTGATGTGGAATCTGGATATATATATATAATATGAGTAGGTTTGGTTCAACCCACTAGACTGATAGGTAACCCTGCAAGTCGTTGTCACCTCATCTACATGATTTTTTTGATAATGTATGATAACAAAAAACATATAAAATATTTACTGGGCGCAACTGCATTGCTTTACGGGGCTTGGTTGCAGTGAGGTCCGACTAAACTATCTATGGGGTTTGATTCTATGAATCCAAAACACAAACCATAGAATCAAAGTTGAAACAATGTGCGCCCCACGGTAAAAGTTTAAAATAAATCTGAATGAATTTGTTCCATCCCTTTATCGACTCACCTACACAATACATACTGTGTGGGGGTTACAAACTCGATACACTTGTAGATTTGGGAAGAAAAAAAGGAGGTTCCAATTTCAAATCTACACTTGATCAATATGGAAGAAAATTGTTTTGAACAACATATTTTGTGGAGAACTACTGTACTTGGAATTACTAGTATGGCAACACCTGATAGAAACCTGGGGCCAGGGGGTTCTTGAACTCGACAAAACATCTCCAAAAAATCCCACAGTGCAAACACGGCCTGTTTCTGGCAAGTGTCAGAGAAACAAATGGTGATATCCTCCTGTAACCAAACGTGGCGATGGAGAATCCACCATTTACAGATGATTTTCCCATGAAAAAACCTCCATGAAAATGATTGAAAATGGGGGATTGTCAATTGCCATATGCATCCATATGCCATGTTTGATGACACCAGAGGTTAAACCATAAAGCACTTGGGATTTGGGTCTATCGACCAGCCCATTCTCTGCCCATTCTGTGCGCGGTCCAAGGCACCTAACATGGGCACCATGGCTCGCTCGGCTCGTCGAGGAGGTTTATGTTACCCTGTCGGCCATAGGTTCCTGATTTTAGTGGTCTTTCATGCACTGAATAGCAGCGCTGTGCATTTTCTAAGCTGGTTGGCTGTTGGTGTCTGGGGTGATGGCTTAAAAGTCAAAGATTTCTCAGCCCCGGCTGGACCTGCTTCTTGACATGTGCCCAACCTGCATATCCGACAGAAGCTTAAAGCATCAGCAAACAGGCAAGATTGTGTTTTCACGGATAAATTTAGCTGCACATGTGTGATTTTAAGTTGGTATGTTAGACACATCATATGTTTGAAATGTTCAAGTGGTTTCCGGTTTCGTTGTGTGTGGTTACACATTTCTATCATTCATATCAATCCCAAATATACTGTATATCATACTTGGGATATCTTGTATTACCCTCTGGTAAACGTTTACACAACATTACATAACTATGGAACATCACCATTTTTAACGGGAAAACTCACTATAAATGGCCATGTTCAATAACTATTTTGACATAACCAGAGGGTATATCATATGTTTGGTATGTTCACAGCTGCTTCATCATTCGGATCCCGCCCCGCACTGGTTGCTGGGTTCCTACAATCTGACTGTACACATCTCCAAAGAACAACACTGGGTATCTTATCTGGTTGGTGGTTTCAACCCCTCTGAGAAATATTAGTCAGTTGGGATGATTATTCCCAATATATGGAAAAATAAAAAGTGTTCCAAACCACCAACCAGTTATGGTTGTATGGTTGGAGAACTATTCCCTACCACATCATCTCGTGACATCTTAGTCTTAAATCTCTAAAACCTCCTATATTGGATTTGAATGGATTTGATGGACATCCGAGAGATATCCAACTATCTAGAATGGTTTATTCCAGAAATTGGTTGGGATCAGAACATCGTAGGAACACTGTATCCTTAGTTGTTCTTTTAACGAATCATAAACCTGAAAGGGTAGCAGTAATTAATTATTGCTGTTTAAAGTCAATAGTGAAAATTGTTTCAACTTTTCAGCCTCTTTTTGGGGGGTACGAGCCATGTCATTTAGCGTCGCAGATCCGTGGCAATGGGAAGGGGTCGACCATGGCACCTACTCTGCAAGGTCGGTGCCATATCTTCATGCGGTTTGAGTATCACCCGCAAAGTAGGAGCACCAAAGAATATCACTAATTACATACTGTCATGTTACATACGTACATCGTGTTAAACGAAGGCAATATAAATAGAATTTACTAACACGCGTGGTTGGTAATCCCTGCTTAATTATCCAATGTTCAAAGAAATGCAACAAACCTCATCGCAGGGATAATTCCCCAAAATAGAGAAAGTCAAAACCCATCCACCATTTTGATGAACAATACTTTGAAGGTCCGAAAGTCAATGTAGGCATATCATATCCGTTCAAGATTGGGAGACGAGAACCCTCAAGGACTGGCTCTGCACTTTCGCTGCACGAGCGAACTAACGCAGTGAAACGGCCATAAAGGCATCGAAAATTCACAGAACCACAGCCTTCCACAGCCCAAATCATGTACTGCATAGCTCCGAAAAATGACATGGTGTTTTCTTTTTTAATATACTTGTGACATGTTGGTCCCCCACTGCTTATGAGTTCTTTCCATTTTGGTGGGGGTTGAATCATGCCTACAGTGTTCAAGCCCGGCCACATCTGTGAGAGGCACATCATCGCAGGAAAAAAAACATCCAAGGAATTCCAGAGCCGGCTTTGGAAATGAATTGACAATTCTTGTCGATGATTTTACGGACTTGAATCAAGCTGACGAATCGTTAAAATCCGCCCTTGTCCCAAGCAAAATTGTGGAGATGTTTCAGGCTACTGCCTGAGCTTGGAAAAGGAAAAAACTAAATTTGGTTTATGGCGGGTGTCCAAAACTGGTTTTGGAAGATAATCACTCCGGAACTGGCAATTACTATTGGTTCCTAAATGTACAACACATGCAAATCATGAAGCAGAAATTGAGGGAAAAAACATCTGTGAAAACCTTCATCTGTCTTGGTGACACTCCTCAGTGCTTTACGTCTCCGTGCTTTGAGCTGCAGTTCCCCAGGTCACTGTCCTACCTGCATGCTGTCCCGAGAAACAACGCTGGAACAAGTGAAAATCATGACAGGGGTTGGTACATGTCGGGTTTTGGAGTTGTTGAACATCAATTTCTTTTGTATCTCTGTTGGGTGATTTGTCCATGTTCGGGAAAGAAAATTTGCGCTGATTGAAACCACCAACCATTGGACCATTGCAATGACTTCGTCTAATTGGATCAATTTTCAGGGATGGTAACACTGCCAGCAATCAAACATGGCATTGGAGAAACCACCCTTGAAGATACCCACTTCTCTTTATTGGACCCAGACACCTGAACTTTTCTAGCCAGGTTAGACTATACTCTAGATCCATATTTCGACCGTCATCATCCACTTTAAGTCTGATGAAAGATTTGTCATCATGATTTGAAGTTGGATTCCCAAACTTCTATTGTTTATCATTGGTTTCCCAATTAGGCCCACGGCACCCGCTTGGGGTGCCCCCTATATTTCATCCGTTCTGAGACAAGCCCGCATTTGTAACCAACATGTTTGGTGATGGAAAACAAACAATATCTGAAACCACCTACTGCCAACTAACTATATGACATGATTGAATTGGATTGACATTCTTGTTGACATACCACATGAATTTGTCTGAACAAAAGTACTCCAAAACTCAGAAAAAACTCATGGTTGATCATTGTTGTCCATTTACATTTCCATGGGTGGTAAATCTGCGCGTGTTTGGACAACTCCCTCAACATATCTATTATAAACATCCCCATGGATCTTACGAGATCTTCCCCATACATTTGGATATTTCCTAGTCAACGGCCCATGCTCTGTTCAAGTCATATTAAATCGCTGTTCAGATAGCAGAAATCCATTATGAAGTTATCTTAAACAGAAACCTCTCAAACCTGGTGATTCATTTCTGTTCAAGTCATCTTAAACCTCCATCAACCCCTGCATTTTTTAAGACAATTTGGTAAACTAGGCGTACACCTCCACTTTGGTAAAAATGTGGGATGGTTTAATAATGTTTAATATAATGTCTTCCCAATTTTCGATACATTTCCCCACAAATGGTCTGTACATATCCCATAGATCCATTCCATCTGACTTCCGATTATTCATTATTTATTTGGAGGTGTCCTAAAATGGGGATACCCCCAAATCATCCATTTCTAGATAGGATTTTCCATTATGAACCATCCATTTTTGGGTACTTCACGCGTGGGGACTTCACGCGTAGCTGGTTGTCTCTACCGCTGTCACACGGCACTAAAGTCAAAGGCGGAAAAAAAAAACACATTTTTGGGTACCCTCTGGTAATTTAAACATAACTATGGAAAATCACCATTTATAGTGAGTTTTCCCATGAAAAATGGTGATTTTCCCATGGAAACCCCCATTTCAGCCATAAACCATGCCCAAGGTTGACGTTTCGCCGTCGTTCCCAGGGCCCACCTTGTGACGTTTCGCTGTCCCTGCGCTGGCCTGTGACATTTGCCACGACGTGGGGATCAGTCGTCACTTGGTTATGAGTCTTCGTATTACTATACATTGGACTTTTCAATAGATATATATATAATATAATATCATATCATATATAATATAATATAGAATACTATATGAGTATAATATAACATGATGTAAATATAATAAAAAACAATATAATATAAAATATGTTAATAAAATATAATATAATATTAATATGATATAATGTGATGTAATATAACTATAATATAATATGATAAAATATAATATATTATACAGTAAAACAAAACAAAATATATAATATATCATATAATGAAATAAAATATATTATAATATAATATAATATATAATATAATATGAGTATAATATAATATGATATAAATATAATATAATATGATATAATATAATATAATATAATATAATATAATATATACATACACCGTATATATAATATATACTGTACATAGTGTGATGATTGCTATTCTATGAATATTGACATACACTAATGGCGGCACATGTGCCGGTAACATGTGCCCGTTCGGTGGGAATCAAAGAAGACCAAATCTCAGGGGCCAAAAAACGGAATGGATTTGATTCCCAATCGTTTTACCATTCCCAATAAAGGACTGGTTATTTGAAAAACTTATATAATAGTCCATTCAAATATATTGTTTTTCCATTCCCAATCGTTGCCGGAATAGATCATGGAAGGTCACATACTTGAAAAGCTGCTTAAATCAACAGTTTTAGGTCACTATGCCGCTATGCCCAGTAGCAGATTCACTTAAATGAAAATAACAAATCATGATCATGGCCAATCTTAGATACTGTACCCTTCAAACAAACACTTTGCTGGTTAGTAGATAATCCTATTAATACCAAAAGACATAGCAGGATCAAACTAAGACTGGTTGATGGTATACTGATCTGAAAAATATGAGTTCGTCAAATGGGATTCTTCTTCCCAATAGATTCAGGAGATGGAAAGTCATAAAATTCCATGGTTCCAGTCACCACCAACCAGATACATTGTCATTCCAATTAATAACCGTTACTAACCATTATTAACCATAGATTAACCATTATCAGCCATTATTAGCCATTATGAACCATAGATTAACCATAGATTAACCATAGATTAACCATAGATTCTGCGATCCCTTGTCCTCCAAGTCCTGCAAGTCCTCCACGCCTCATCATCACTCGAGTCGATCACCAGTTGTGCTTGCGACGCTTGCGACGCTTGCGGCGCTTGCGACATGCGAATGGCAGCCTGATGTCTCGGTCCCGTCTGGTTCCAAATAGAAGTTAAGTTATGCCCTCTCAACGAGAATAGTAGTGAATACTAAGAACAAATTCAATGTTGGGATTATCAACACTATTATGGGATATCAATGTTCTTATAGTATTATTGATATCCATTGGATTATCCTAACAACAATTTCATTAAACAAATGGGGACCTGAATGTTGTTCGGATGATTATATACATACCATCTGGTTATTTAACATAGCCATGGAAGCAATGGCCCATAGAAATAGATGGTTTACCTAGTAAAAATGGTGATTTTCCATGGCTATGTTAGTCATAACCAGATGGTATGTATATAAATATGTGTATATATATATATAAGC